TCCACGGATGAATTAGGTACATCAGTTGGCATGCAGGCGGAGTGAACGCCTTGAGCAGGCGTCTTGTTTATTTATATAATGCGCTGCAGCATTCCTGACGCTCTTTCGCCAGCCAGTCGCCAAGCAAGCACTGAAGTGGCTTTCAAAACTTTGTTTTTTACTCGTTAAATAAGAATGATACAGTAATATTATAAACAACAAGACGCCTGTTCTGGCGTTAACTCCGGCGCACGTGCCAGTCTTTAATATAGAGCTTCTGAACATAAACAATACAGTTCATATTCGCATTTAGATACCTTGCGAACCTATAAATGTTCGATCGCGAAATTCAGAAGCACATCGCACTTTAAAAAGTATAGAAGTTCAATTGTTCAAAAATGTAAATAAACCGCATGATACATTCGCTTTGTCTTACACTTTGCCTTTGGAATTCGCGCTTATATAGTTATATTAAATCTTCAATCCTGTGCAAACTACGACGTGTCAACGCGGCCATACACGACCACATCATCTTGTTAAGCGGCGAAATAGCAGTAATATTATTAAAATAGGACCAGAATTAACATGTATTAATATATTCTGACCCCAATTCAATCTAAACTTAATCGAACAGCATGAAAACAACGGTTTATTCGTTCCTCCTGGAGCAATTGCCTATCATGCGAGCGAAATCGAATCGCGCATCGGAAAATTAGCCAAAGCTGTACACTGCACAACTCTTGGGAGATAAGACTGGGACATAGATAAATAGGATTACATACACATTTTAAATACTAGAATGTTTCGCGCCATTTCAGACTTGCGACGACGAAAAATAAAAAAAAAAAAAAAAAAAAAAAAACAAAACCGAGGCGAATTTTCAACTCCGTCGCTGACGCCGGAGTAAAAATCAAAGATGAATAAAATATAATATTCACATGTACCGAATAATGCTCTTCTTCGTCCATTCTACGTCAATATTTTTCGTGTCAAAAATAAAAGTGCAAGCTTGTTTTTTGTAATTGTTTCTGTAATTTTACAGTAATTGCTCTGGCGTCCAAGCTGCCAGTTTGTGTTTACATTACTAAAAAACTGTTTTCTCCTATACTCAGTGCTTAGTGCTCCTTTATTCCCATGGGCCAGATTGAATATATCATTTGGCAAAAATTCATTTACAATTTGGTCAATTACTGCACTTCCAACAGACATTTCTCCCAATTTAGTTTTTATATGATGTTTTAAGTGAGTTTGAGACATGTTATGCATTGCCTGCATTTCCTGGATGATCTTTTGGATAGTGCTAGCAGGCACATGATATTTGGCATTTAGTTTCAGGTAAAACAATGCCAAATTTTTAACAAATAACTCACTAATATCCTCTTGGGTATCATCATTTTCAAGATTGTCATTGTTGGATGTCTCTCCTGAATCAAAACCATCAAACTGGCTTAAATTTGAAGTGTTATTAGTTGCTTGGCTATTTACATGTACAAGTAACTCAGAAGACACCTCTCTGTTGGCAGGATTTTTATGACGCCTACTTAGATGAGAAGTAAATGATGATTTTATTTTGAATTTTGAGTTACAGCCGTTAAAAGGGCAAGTTACCTCGACACCTTGGGTAATGTGATCTTTTTGATGAGCAATTAAATCTTTTATGCTTTGTAGAAACTTGGAGCAAAAACTACATTGGCATTGTATCGGCGCAGAGCTAACAGTATTAGATCCCTCTCGCCTTGCATTTTCATGATCTCTTGTAACATGCGATTTGAATGCACTATATGTTCGAAACCTTCGAGCACAATTTTTAACAGCGCAAGGGAACGTTACATTGGCCTCGTTGGAATGAAGCCTGTAATGGTTGGCATAAGCTCCCAGCGAACGACTTCGATGAAAACACGTAGGCGCCTTGCAACGGTACATACTAATTAACAATACGGAAATATATAACACAACGAGCATTGAAGCGGAAAGACATAAGTAGTACTTACTAATTCACATAAACACAAACTAGGACAAACACAGCCTCGAGGAAAGTGGTCACTTCAAAACGACACTCGACTGTCCGATGTTGAGACGCGACTTATCACGCTGATTATCCAACGGTAGGAAACGTAAAAGCCTCAGCTCGGCCAGGAAATTAGTATAGAAGATTCTCTGATAAGTACCCAACGGTGTAAAACTTTTAAAACAAATATTTTAGCCTTTTTAGGCACGTAAATGCAGTTCTTTCGCACCTTCTCCGGCTTTTCAACCTTTCTTCCGGCTTTGCAACTTTTTGCCAGTGAAGACAAAACTTCACAGTAAAGATCAAAGGTCAACAAAAACCACAATCACATTTCTGTATCACGTGTTACTCACGGACACGGTTTGAACAGCCATTAGCACTGAGAATTTTATAATGATACTCGAAACGTGGCTAGTATTTATTTATTAGGGAAAATATTACATATTTTGATTCGAAAGAGTTAAAACAAAACAAATTAAATGATTGCTATTAAAAGAGTATATTATGACTTTATGTCTATTCGCAGTGCATGGAGTTCACATGCACGCCACTGACTATTAAACAAGCTTTTATTAAAAACAAACGAAATAAGCTTGTTTTTCAACAGGAACTACGATTTTTCCGGTTTATATCATGTGCAAATACTAATTAAAAGCTATTTCAGCCTATTTGCCATCATTGACAAATTGAAGCCCGCAAGAGACGAACATAACAATTGACAATTCCCCCTTCCAAATTGCCCTTTTCAAAATTTATGTATCTATTGGAGTATCTGATATTTTGGGATAATTGTTACTCAAATGATAGTGTATTGTTCTTATCTATAATAACCACTAAACCATCACTATCAGATATCCCAATATCAGATATTTCAAAAGATCAATAATTTTTGAAATGGTCAGTTTACTGCAGTACTTACATCAAATGACTTAATCATAAGCTCTTGAGGTTCTTCAAAGTACGCCAAAAGCATTAGAAATACACCATCAATCTGGGGTACTTGCATTTTCTCTGCAGACATAGCAGCTTCTATACGAATAAGCAATTGCTTCAGGTTTTTCAGGTTATAAGCTTGTTTTTGTTCAAAAATATGAGAGTTAGACCGTTATTACGGCAACGGTCTGATACTGGGGGATTCCAGACGGGCAAAGAACCAATCAGCGCACGCCATTTTAGTCACGAGACCGCGTGCCATATAATAAATATAGTTATTATATACACAAGCGCCAGATATGAGGTATGCTGCAATTTCATTGGTTGGCTACTAGACAGATATTAGCTCATATCTGTCTAGTAGAGAAAGTAAACAAAATGGCCGAAAGATTTCGGGAGTTGAGTGAAATAGAAATCCAAGCTTTAGTTGATAATAGCACACCAAAATGCACCGAAAGGGCGACAAAGTTTGTGTATATAATAAAACAGTTATTTTTCTCACTCTCGTCGTATATGGCCGATAGCCAACTCGGCGCTACGCGCCTCGTCGGCTATCAGCTCATATGCGACTCGAGTTCGCAGAATAAACTGTTAAATATATGTGATCTGATATCATTACGTCATGAGGCGTCTCGACTAACTATGTGATCTGATATCATTACGTCATGAGGCGTCTCGACTAACTGAGTTATCATACGCCTGGTGTTATTTGTCCTTATTCTTCTAACTAATACTATAAAGGGCGAAAAATTTAAATTCTAATTCACAGTTGGGAAAAAATAAGCGTGTTTTCATTATTGAAGTTTATGAGTTCACGGCAACCAGGTATATAATCCATCGTAATTATCGCTACTCTGGTTTTAGTAAATGAAAGTAATCACCACACAAAGATTAACTTTCACGACCCAACGTTTCGACACTCCGGTCTAGTGTCTTCATCAGGGGTGATCTGATGTTGAAACTCGGTTCCTTATATACTCTCAAAATGACGTCATCTATTAATCAGATGTAAATACTCTTTTGGCAAATAGCTTGCGTCATCCCTATCAAGGGCACAAAGACTCGCACTAATATGCCAGGCTTCCAAACAACGCCTTTGTCCATAACGATCATTAGTGGTAATGACTTTTGAATCGTTCCACCCAATGTTATGGTTAGTTTGACACACGTGTTCCGCCAAGGCTGATTTTGAACTGTCTAAGTTCGAAACGGTCTTTTGATGTTCTTTTAAACGTGTGCCAAACTGGCCTTTTGTTTCACCTAGATATTCTTTCTCGCAATCACCACATGTTATAGAGTATGCAGCATGAGTTTTCTGTTTAGTCGCTACGCGATCCTTGGGTTTCGCGAAAATATGTCCCAATGTCTGAAAGGGTTTTAAGGCAACTTTTATACCACAATTATTCAGGATCCTCCTGATTGGTTCTGCAATTCCCTGAATGTATGGAACTATAGCAAAACCTGTTTTTGAGGAATCACCCTCTGAGGAATTGCATCTAGTCGAGACAGGGGATTTTAGACAATCATTTAAAAAGTTTCGAGGATAGTTGTTCTCTCTCAGTACACTGAGGACATAATCACGCTCGTTGTCCCTAGCAACGCGATTGGATGGTAACGATTCAGCTCTTTGAAACAAAGTTTTTGCAACAGACTTTTTATGACTTTTTGGATGGTGTGAGTAGAAGGATAGATATTTGTCCGTATGTGTAGGTTTACGGTAAACGTCAGTTTCTAACTGCCCTTCGATATTTCTATGAACATAAGTATCCAAAAAAGCCAACTTTCCCTCACTCTCGCGCTCTACAGTGAATTGAATTGATGGCTCAATAGAATTCAAATGTTTCAACAAATTATCGATCTCATTTTTGTTAACCGCAGAGGCCACATCGTCAACATATCGTTTCCAAAACAAAGGTTTGACCGGACTAGAGGCTAAAGTAAGAGAAATTGCAGAACCAATCAGGAGGATCCTGAATAATTGTGGTATAAAAGTTGCCTTAAAACCCTTTCAGACATTGGGACATATTTTCGCGAAACCCAAGGATCGCGTAGCGACTAAACAGAAAACTCATGATGTATACTCTATACCATGTGGTGATTGCGAGAAAGAATATCTAGGTCAAACAAAACGCCAGTTCGGCACACGTTTAAAAGAACATCAAAAGGCCGTTTCGAACTTAGACAGTTCAAAATCAGCCTTGGCGGAACACGTGTGTCAAACTAACCATAACATTGGGTGGAACGATTCAAAAGTCATTACCACTAATGATCGTTATGGACAAAGGCGTTGTTTGGAAGCCTGGCATATTAATGCGAGTCTTTGTGCCCTTAATAGGGATGACGGAAGCTATTTGCCAAAAGAGTATTTACATCTGATTAATAGATGACGTCATTTTGAGAGTATATAAGGAACCGAGTTTCAACATCAGATCACTCCTGATGAAGACACTAGACCGGAGTGTCGAAACGTTGTTTCGTGAAAGTTAATCTTTGTGTGGTGATTACTTTCATTTACTAAAACCAGAGTAGCGATAATTACGATGGTGTTTTCATTATATTAAAATTAATTGATATTTTTGAGTGTGGAAGTCGTATGCAATGAAGGAAATGATAATTCAGTTTTGTCGAAGATCTGGCTTCTGATTGGTTGATTTTTCTACCCTGATCAGCTGGATATATCTAAATAGTGTATATTCTATTTTTATAATTTATCACATATATACTATTTTGCATTTTACTAAAATTAACAGCATTTTCCTTTTTTTAAAATTTTCGACATATAATAGTATACAAATTGAAACATGTCAGAATGCTCGGAAGCTTTCGTCCAATTGGATAATGCTTTTCTATGCTTTCTAAAGAACGAAGCTAATTCATTGGTTAAACCAAAAATGTATTGCGAGGACCTGCTAATTTTTTTTTGAATATATTCCAGAATATTTAAAATTCGTAAAATTGAATTGAAGTTTTTGAAATTGTAAACAGTACAAAATCTTCACAGACAAAGAAAAAACTTCAAATGTTATTTTATTCTGTAATTGCAGTCAACGCCGGCGGCTAAAAGTTTCAGTATACTTTATAAATATAGTGTGTATTTTTGATACCAAAATTCAAATTACACTTTCAAAAACACTTTTTGAAGTTAAAGCAAAGGTGTAATAGCCCTTCACAGGTTTATGCATTTGCAGAAAAAGCTGAAAATTTAACAAATGAACGGCATACAAAGCTGAAAAGTATACAAATACGGCTCATTCTTACCGCGAAACAAGTACGAGATAAACAAAGTAAACACGTACCCTTTGTCTTTGAAAACATTTATAAGCTTGCAGATTATGAATTATTCCTCTTACACGGCTTTGTTTTGACTGTATCCACGTTCATCTTTGCTATCTGTCATGCTTCATATATCTTGTTTCTTCTCGTTTTACTTTCTTTGCACAAAGTTTATGAAACGCTTTTACAAAAATGTTTACGGAATGACAGTTAAATTGCTGACGTTCTCATTGAATTACAAACTTTCTGTCTTAGCCAATCAGAACGTTCGTTGATTACCAGTCTACACTCGTTCGCATTTCGCGCATGCGCACAAGTACCATGACCATTGAACGTCCACGGTCCACGGTCCACGGTCCACGACATAGAATTTGAGCAACTTTGGATTCCGCTATGTTCTGTCACAATACCCGGGTGTAATAAATCTCCCAGCGGAATTAGTACCCTCGCACGGCGCTTCGCGCCGGCTCGGGGAATATTTTTAAGACTGGACTGTGAACTTTCATTTGATGCATGGCTTTTTTTTAAATTTACCTCAGTCCTGGAATCGCTCTGATCACCCTTATATCCGCCCTGTGAAACGTGTAGTCAGAAATATGGGCGACACCACAAGTTTGGCGTGCATTTATTAAGAGTTAACAATCACTCCATCACGTTTTTACCTAAAAGAATATTTACTAAACTTAGTATAATTATTGTACTCATATGTGATTACTCTCTAAATTTTATAGAAAGAAAAATTCACAAAGAAAAATTGTTCATAAATTAAAACGAATTTCTATATAAAGCAAAAAAGGTAAAAGCGGGTAGCATAAAATCTATCGTTGTGGAGGTGGTACTTCTTCAATCACAATACGCGAGAAAGAATTCCAGCCGGAATACGCGTCAGCGTTTCCATAACCGTGGCAGTTACCAACATTGAATCCAACACGGATATTGCCTTGACGAATATTGCCACAATAACCTTCAATATGTCGATGGCGGTGAAGGTTTTGAGTGTTTTTTCCTTTCCACATATAATAAAGACCTTCAATAGGAACATTGCATTCAGCGCCATTAAAAGTGAAATACCATCGTTTGCAACAAGCATCACAGTTGTAGATGCGAAGATTTCCAGCGTAGAAAACACGAAGATAAGAGTCGTCTCGTTTTTTAACAAACGTACAATCCTAAAAACATAATAGACGAAATAGATATAGCTCCTACTTCTTAGGAATAAATTGTTTTCACAATTGAGTTGGACTCGTCAAGCTTGCTGCGCCATTGATAATATTATACAAACCATCCCAAGTAGAATTGTAACTGAGCAGCTCTTGTAAACTTTCAAAGGGCAGAGGAGGCATGTTGTGCTTTTTAAAAGTGCAGAATATATAGGAATATCGTTATCATAATTTCTTAAAATTAATGTTCGTCACCACTGAAACAAATTGTGCAGTAAATCGGTGACTCGATCTGAATTATCCTAAAAACGGTTGATTTAACTAAATTAGTTTGGATAAACTATAAGGTCATAAGATGTCCGTATGTAGTTATCTATAAAGTAATATCGATCTGGCTTCCAGATTGTACTTTTCCCAAATATTAAAACAATAAACTATGGAAGTTAACAAATATGATTTTGAGAACCGAACTCTATGAAACAACAATATGCATATCTTTCTGTTAAATGCTACGCGGAGGTATCCGTCAAATATGACTAAAAGTCTAATTTTTAAAATTTTCTTAAGTAATTCTAAAGAGTAAAAGAGGATAAAAGCTTACACGAATTAGTCCATTGTCTTTTCCATCTGCAACCTTCCAAGTACATTGTTTCCAGTTTGATGTCGCGGAATCACCACGATCACCTTTCTCACCTTGTTGACCTGGTGCTCCAATTGCCCCAGGCACACCAGCACGGCCTGGTTGGCCGTCTCTGCCACTCTGTCCAGGTACGCCTGGAACACCAGGGACACCCGGAATACCACAGCATTGCCCCTTTGGGCAACTAGGAGTGTGGCATCCTGGTTGGCCTGGTAAACAACCGCCTGGCGATCCTCTTTTTTTTTCGTATTCCTGGTTCCTAAAAAGACAAAAAAAAATAAAAAAAGATAAAAATATATATATATATATATATATATATATATATATATATATATATATATATATATATATATATATATATATTGAAGCCTTGGTAGTTTGTAGTCGTGCCCACGTTACATAGCTCAAACTGACTTTGAGTTGTTAACAAGTTATTACCCTTTTAGCCGCAGCTCTATTTTGGTCAAGATGCGACTGAACTTCATCTTGACATTAGGCTGACTGACATTATGTAATGCCTCTATTATAGCAACAACGATACAGATAGTTCACATTTATAGTTAGTATTCTTACTTGAGGCTCGTTGTCATGCTTGTCTCCTGTATCAGCCAGGGTGTGCAAAACCAAAGCAAAAGCGAACACAGCAAGCGATATGAACTTCATCGTTTTGCAGGATGTCGTGCAAATCCTGAGTGTCTAATGAGAGTTCGGTGAGCTGCTTCTCTTATATGTTCTTCTTAATCAATATTAATAACTCTTTATCTCTGCTCGAGAACTAAGGGATGCATGTACCGAATAAAAACAATGTACTTAAGAAAAAGGAAATTGTTATTGCCTGATATTGCCTGTCAACAGCTGAAAACGTTCGAGGGGAAATATATATACATGAATGGTGCATCGCTTCTATTTAATAAAAAAAAGTTCGTAGGCTCCTTGGAATTATTAAGGTTGCCGTTTTTTTATACACCCTCATCAAAGAGTTTCTTAAGTAAGCCCGAGAAACATTAATAAGATGAAACATTTAAAATTAAGAGCTTATAGCTAATTATACGATTAGAAATACCGTGAAAAATCGTACCGATCGAGGTATAATTGAGACGACCACCTAAAGAATTTGAGAGTGAGGGTTGGGATACAGTTGTTGACCTTCTAAACTATTTGAACATGGTTTATTATTCTTAAACTGGAAAGGAAATTTATGACATGGCATAAAATGTGCTCGAACGCACTTCCGTGTTCAAGCACACGTGATATTTACCTCCACTTCTTATACATTGGGGGAAATCATAATCATTGGCTGATGAAACAAAGAGAGAGCATTCAATAGAATATTATTACTTGATGAACACTCCTTACACTCGAACCTAGAAAGTGTCCGGAACTCCATTGCACCATTAACTCCTCGGTTAAGATATTGTACGTCTGTATGAATTATTCTGATTGAAGCATCCCGGACGTTTTAGCCGATATAGCTATAATCTACGTTAAAAAATAGCTTTCACAATACACCGGTATAAATGTTCGAGGATTCTTCCCCTGTTCTGACGTGTCTGTGTTTATATAAGTGCTCGTATTTGCATCCCTAATAAACACTTAAAAATATAAACATCTACCAAACGAGTCTTTCATTTAAACTTATATATTCAAATAATAAACAATTATTGGATGAGGTTTTTGTGATATGCAGAGTTATCAAGGTCGAGGTAAGCGTTATCAACCGAGCCGAAGGCGAGGCTGATAACGCTTACCGAGACCTTGCATATCACAAAAACCAAATTCAATAATTTTTTTATTATACATTTGAAGAATAGTAAACATAGTGTTAACGAATGAAAAACCTTATTTAATAGCAACATCCAAAAATACATCAATTATTACGAGGAGATTTTTTATTATGTCGCGTATTTTGGCGGGAAAACGCTCAAAACCTAAAGTCTTTTTGGCGTACCACTCAAAATCCATTTATTTTACCGTTATTCTTTAGATTATGTTATGAACTAAGTTTTGAACTGTATTTGGTGAATGCAAAACACCAAACAAAGGAGTTATTATAAAATATAATGACTGAAATGCGCCATTATAACTGAAATGAATACAAAAGAAGCTTCGATTCAATATTGTGATTTTCTTCTCAGCGTATCCGAGAAATCTTTTCATTTTCACACGATTTTGAGATTATACAGTAAACATACTTTGTGGATGCTTTTCAGGTTTGCAAAACATTTTTATTGCTGAAAATTTTAGCGCTGTTGCATGAAGATATAACTGAGGTTTTGAGCATAATATTATAATATTACGCGACATAGAAAAATATCTCCTCTTAATTCCTCTTAATACATAAATACATTCAAATGAACACCGCTTATTAACCACCGCAGGCTCACTTGCAGATAACTGAATTTTGCGTGATTGCGCGATTTATTTGTCAACTATTAGCCAATCAAATTGCTTTTACTACTATGATGTATAATATATAACACCGGTTATTGGCATCATGTGTGTGAAGCGTGATGTCTTGAAAAATAAGATATCGTCCTTGACAGAACCGTAATGTAGAGTGAAGACGATTTTAGCACAAGTAAAGGGCTGGTAGTGTCTCGCGATAGGTCGAAAACTTTTAAACGCAAATCAGTGGTTTGTTCGTTATTTCGTTATAATAGTACGTATTAAGTAAGTATTAGGCTTTCACTACTTATGTTCATTGTTTTTTATGTGATTTGCTATTGATTGTCCCCTTTGTAAACTGTCATTTGCACGATTGTGACATTTTGTCCATTCTCCCGATTTTGAATTTTTATACGGATTGCTTATTTCTGTTGCGATTATCAAATTTTTGCGCTGTAAGGTGTTGATATTTTCTCAACAATGATTGCAAGCAATATAGATTGGTGCTTCAGATTTCCGAACTAAAAATCGATTTTCTCGTTAACATTCGTGACCAAAACAATTTAAAAACATATAAAAAATTGGTTGGTGGGTAATTTTAATTTGGATAGCTACATGCTATAGTTTGGAAACACTAACGAAACTTGACTGAACTGATAGTGGGGACGACCAAAGCACGCCATTCGAATAGAATTGTGAAATGACATGTTTGACATCATTTGTGTGGACATCACAGAAAATTATTACATGACTAAAATCTCAAAAAATTCACATGAGGGTAGAAAAGGAAGATAAGCTGTATTATGAATCACTGATACATAATACAGTTTACTAAAATTGCTTTTAAAAGCACGCTGTGATTCCCTTAGAGACATGCGCGCGCGGAGGAGTAAGGTTCTAAATCATAGATAAATACTACCAAGACTGCATGCTTTGTTCCTATATAGCTCTATAGGATATACTGTGTCTTAATACAAACACAACTGCAGCAACTCTCTATTAGTGTTGACCGAAATTTTTTTTCGCAAGAGGTTGACGTGATTGAATATTGGGAAACATCTACCTCAAACCTCACCCCCTCCCTTGTTGATACTTACGTGATTTCCATGCAAACACAACTCACTTGCGGCAGTTCAAGTTGATGAAATCATCGCAAAAATTCTTGCATGCAGCGGCAGAAGATTTTTAACTTCATGTTTTCTCGACTTAACTGTCTTCACCATCTTTTGTTCGAAGAATTAGAATAATTTTTTTCTCAGGCATTGCTGCAGTAAAATTCTGAAATAGCTTGCACAACTGCATTGAATAGGCTACAAAATTCATAGTTATTATAGTTTATTTACTAAAATCGTTGTATTTGCTGTTTTTGAGAGACAGATAAAGTCATATGTTACTAATGTGAAATACTAGTGTGAGAGTATGTCCTTATGTCTACTTTTGTGGAGGTGGTACTTCTTCAATCACAATACGCGAGACAGAATTCCAGCCGGAATACGCGTCAGCATTTGCGTAACTGCGGCAATTACCAACCCAAAATCCAACACGAACATGACCTTTGCGAATTCTACCACAATAACCCTCAATATGACGATGGCGATGAATATTTTGACTTTTTAATCCTTTCCACATATAATAAACACCTTCAATAGGAACATTGCATTCAGCGCCATTAAATTTGAAAAACCACCGCTTGCAACAATTATTACAGTTGTAGATGCGAAGATTTCCAGCGTAGAAAACGCGAAGATAAGAGTCGTCTCGTTTTTTAACAAACGTACAATCCTAAAACGTAATAGATTAAATATATAGTTCTTACTTCTTAGGAACAAATTGTTTTCACAATTGAGTTGGAAAGTACATTGCTAGAATTGAACATAATGACAATATCAATATACAGTGATAATATTAATATAAATTTTAATTGAGTGTTAAAAATGTAAGAAAAAAATGTAAGAAACTTTTAAATCAGATTTTAGCCGATCCAAGCATAAATTGAACGAGTTAGTGTGTAAATAGGAATCTCCCTTAACATATGAGTAGCGTACAGAGAAACATTTTTATATTCCCATGCAATTTTTCAAAAACTATTTTATTGTTAGTAGTTGCCTAAATAAATAATTAAATTTTATAAACTATATACTATACTGTAATTTTTTGTAGCTATACTAGCTCAAATACTGTAAATATAAACATAATTTTTCGCTTACTCTCACCTCTAATCACCACGTAATTCTGTCCTATGTAACTGCAATGTGTGTGAATTATTAAACTATCTGTCTATTTATCTATCTATCTATCTATCTAAAACATGTTAAACTGAGTATTAAGACTATACTCTTATCTTTGAACTTTAAAATGGACGTTAATTCTGTTCTGCGCATCGGTTAATCTGCTCATCCGCGGCATAACAATGCAGAGTTTACGATTCACGCTGGCTTGGAAAACCAAGAAACCCCACATGCACGCAAGACAGCAGGTGTGCATACAATTTGTGCATGGTCCTATACGACAGCGTTGTCATTCTTACGACACCTTCAAATGAGCTATTTTCATCAGCCTCTCAATGACATGAATGCAGCGGCAACGTTATAGCTGTTTTACACCTTATATGAAATTGCAATATCAGCTTGACATTGGAGGTTCTTACTTCTTAGCATAATCGAAACGTCTCTATAATTATTTCAAAGTTCTGGCAGCATAATCAATTCTCCATAAGCTAATCTCTTGCAAAATTATTGACTAGCGACGTCGAGCTAACAGCGTCGTAGATCGTAAACAGGTGAGGTCCATCTAACATTATAATTATTTAAGGCAGTGTTACACCATGCAACTTTCCGTGTAACTTGCATCGCAATTCTTCTCCTGAGGCATTTTAAAGTTGTCAAATGCAAACATTTCGTACGATCAGCTAACGTTTTCTTAGCATTTCGAACACTATTTACAAGTTAACATCTCTTTACTACCGTATGTAAGTTGTTTTTGAAACCACGCTCAATACGGAATAAGTAATAGACCGCTGGAAATCATTCTCAACCAATCAGAATAATGGTTTATTTTACCAATAAAAACTTATTCGATATGATAAAGCATTAAAATTTTAAAAAATTCCGATATTGAAAGAATAGAAATCTTACACGAATAAGCCCGTGGTCTTTTCCATCACCAGCTCTCCAAGTACATTGTTTCCAGTTTGATATGGCAGGTTCACCAGGATGACCTTTCTTACCAGGCGCTCCAATTGCGCCCGGCACACCAGGGCGACCGGGTCGTCCGTCTCTCCCGGTCTGGCCAGGTACGCCTGGGACACCAGGAACGCCTGGAGTACCACAGCATTGTCCTTCGGAACATCCGGGTTTATTACATCCTGGCTGACCAGGTAAACATCCGGGTGGTGGTTTTCCTCTACGTTCCTCGGGAGCCTGAAAATCATAAATTACTGTTATACATGCAGGGACTGTACAGGGTTAAAAAAAGGTAATCTAACTTCAGCACGCTATTATTCATAAACTATACTCTTTCTATGAGCAAAATTCGGAAAGTTTAAACGTTTAATGTCCACTATCCAATGACATTTTCAATACGAAAAGGAGTAAGAATTAAATGAGAAAATACGAGGCTGGAAAAAAATTTGATCAGAATAACGATTTTTCACCACTTAGCTATATAATTATAGCCTAATTATCGCAGTGCATAATAACTGAAAAAATGTCTACTGCATGCAATTGTTTTGCAACGATCAGAAGAGAAATTCATCAATGAATTACGTCCCAAAGGGAGCTGAAGAAAGGAGAATTTTCAATGGTTTCAGTCCAAAGTCACAGAAGTGAAAATATGCTATTCTTACTAACACTTTGTATCAGCCTCGTGTTTGTTCATTTTTTTGTTCATTTGGTTGTGAAAACATGCCATTCCGAAGCTAAATGACTGATAAACATGCCATTTGGAAGCTAAAAGACTGATGTTTCCGAATGTTTAAAAAATCCGTTTCTAAATTGTTTGGTAAAATACAGAAGACAAAAAAAAGTGGGCAAAAAAAGAGGCCTGGCACAAAATGTTGAGATTTCAAAAATTGTCCCTGATTTTGTCCTTGATGCAAATATTTTGAGATAAGAAGATTTTCTTGCCGCCATTTTGAATTAAGAATTAAAAACATTTTGTGCTAGTCCTCTCCCGCGCGTTTAAACCGGTGACGTCACAAGAATCCAAGGCGCGCTAAGGAGGACTAGGGACTAATCTGCATGCAGCCAGTCCATGGTTATTCCTTTCATCTCATCCCTATTGGAATGGGGACTCGAAAGCGAATTTAAAATTTTCCGATCGAATATGAAGGCGAAATAATTAATAATAATTAATAATGGATTAATTTGTTAAAACAATCATTGGAATTCGTCAATTTTGTATAATATACTGTTTTCTTGTTTAAAGATGTTGTATCGTGTAATGTGCAAAACATTTTTCACATCCATAAGTATGAGAGTAACATTTGCTATAGCACCGGTTAATAAGTAGCTATACGATACCTGTACAGGAAACGTCATGTGGCTTTAGTGTATTTTCGGGTAAATTTTTATGTACACCTTTTCGTAATTCTCAAATCGAACTTACATTCATGTGTCAAGTATAGATCGTTGCGTCATTGTTAGGCAGGCGGTGAAAAAGAACGCAACGTTTCGAACAATGAATAAACAGTGCACTTTATTAGAACCTAGTTAAATAAAATGGGTGCAAGAATTTCTTCACAGCATGTAGCTAAAAAAGCAAAAGTACAAACGGAAATAACCAAAAATTGCAATAAGCATAAAATATCCTGTTAACGAGATCTTGTGCCACACCTTGACAAAGCGAATTTTGCATTTACAATCCAGATGTTAAATAATCATGGTGTAAGCATTTTTTACACGTTTGATAGGGGAGTGAATAATACGGTCACGGAAGGGTTGGTTTCACTGTAAAACATGAATTACATGATCGTAGAGTATTACACAAAAAGTGTGAGGCCCTGAAAACATAATCCGTGCTCTATCCATCTCTGCTCTTAGGGAAAAGAACCTGTGCCATGATACTTCATATTTTTATATACTTTAGCGCATTTGTCGCTTACAAACTAGTTAAATATATGTGAGTGGTAGAATTTCCTTACTGTATCAAGCTAAAAGAAGCAAAAGTACTAGTAAACAAATTGCCCAGTAAACTGGCTTAAAACAACATTGGCATTAGCATGAAAAATACAGGATTTAAATCTTCATTGTTGCATGTTTATCCGTAATTTCAGAAGAAGCTGCAATATAACAATGCAAGTCTTACTTGCTACCTCAAATACGCGTTGAAATTATAACTCTCATTCTTACATGAGGCTCTTTGTCAGGCATCTCTCCAGCATCAGCCAGAGTATTCGAGACTAGGAAACAAGCAAAGACAGAAAACTTTGCCCAATTCATCCTCCAGAGTTGAATACCACTAAAGTTATTTTTTTGATATAGAGAAAACCGTGCAGTGCAGCAATCTTCAACCAGTGTGTATAACGCACGATTTCTTTAATATTCCTCTCTTTTACGTGTTTGCATCTCCAAAGACGATTGAGCATTAGTGCATGATTGGCTGATGACTACTCGAATTTCGACTGTATCTTCAAGTGAAAGGGTTTTGTACTAATGATTTACTACCTGTTGGATAAATCTTCTTTCGAATATATTTTTCCTAACCAAAAAAGGATTTAGCCTAATTAAAAATTTACGTTGTCTTGAACCCATATTAATATATAAGAAAATGAACGTATATAGTTCATACTTTTTTCTTCCTAGCAAACTTTCTCCAAAAGGACAAAAGATTTCAGTCCCCGGAAATTTTAAACGACTTTTACGAACAAACCTTTTTATCGCCCTACCTCTCAAAGCTGTTATCGAAACTGAGTTAAATAATTATTTATAACGATGACAACCATATGCTTGATAGTGTAGTGAATTGTGTGGTAAACAAAAAGGGAGCGTTAGTCTGCATGTGAAACATGAAATATAGAGAGAGAATGCAAGCATAGAACTGTGAAAATATAAACCCTGTGCAACACCTTCTATTATTTTTAGCAGATTTTATGTTTTCTTGAAATATAATTATATGCAAATAATAAAACCGAGCACCTTGTTGAAGGCCATATTTCGAGGACGCAAGCTAGTGTAAGGTTTTTGTCGACGGAAAGACAGAAGACTAAGGTTTTTGTTTTTCGGAGCCGTTTGTGCCTTGTTCATTAATACTGATTTCAGTATCTCTGAAATCATGATTTTTATTTCGAATATATTACTTTTTACTTCAAGACATCGGGAATTGTATATAGCAGCCCAGCTGGCACACTATTGTACTTCGATTATAAAATCAAATCCACACAATTATAAAGGTTCCCTGGAAATATTCATGAGGTCGCGTTAGGAGAACAAAGAATTATATACGATTTTGCAATGTTTAAACCAAGCCGCAGTATCTTCATGGCAAAAATGCGACCAAATCACTGAATGACTCTATCGCGCGTGATTTGATCGTCGTGGGCATGTGATTATTCTGCAACAAACAATTTAATGAAGTAAAATTCAAACGTTCTTTATTCTGTTCCAATCCCTATACTTAAGGATAAGGGCATTAAGAACTCCGCATATCGTATAATATTATCTCAAGAGGCCTATTATTGCACATAAAACTATTTGTTAGAAAACAAACGTCTTTAAACATAGCTCCCGTTGACTCGTTCAATATTTAAGAAAGCTCGTTATTTTTCGAATTGTATTTGCTGCTCATTTTCGACTCAAGTATATTTGTAGAGCTAAAGTTTAAAATCGTCTTTTCAAAATTCCCTTAAAAATCAATTTTTGATTATGTGACTATATTAAGACGTCAACAGGATGGAAATGTATTTTTAAAACAAAGGCACAAGTCAAAAGTTAAAAAAGAACTTGTATAATCGATTCAACACCGCTGAGTGCTTCAACAATTCCAGCTGCCTAATAATTATAAAGCTTCTTTAAGAGCAAATTATATTGTTGCCTTCTAATGCCAATGTACATAGATGCGCCACTGTCCATGCGTATACTCAGTGGATACAGTGAACTATCGGTACTAAACCTAAACAGACAATACATTAATTATTGATATCTTAAACACATATGAATTCGCTTTTTTAGCACGAATATTATCGGGCATCTTGCATTGTTTTTTTTGAAAGCATTTTCCAACTATACATCAACCAGGAACAGAAAGCTGCTGAAGTGGATGTAAAACAAAACTGTTTGACCAGCGTTATTTGAAAGAATAAAAGACTGTTTATTTTTTGCACCCTTATATCGTGATGAATTTGGTCTATATATACAGTAGGGGGCAAAAGTTTGAGTCCAGTTGTTGTAGAATTCTAGTATTAAATCCTGGCAGCGTATTCGAGTTAAGACATGCGTGCTAGTGTTTGAATACTGTAAACCATATTAATTGCACACTGTTTTGGTCCTATTGATCTAAATTATAACAAAATAAAGTTCTCATTCCTTTACACAACCCAAGATGGTTGAGGGTTAAGTGATGGTGCACAAGGACAAATAGTTGCATTAAGTATTGAAGGATTCTTTCCTCGTAAGATCGCAGAAAAAGTGAGAATTTCAAAAGGTGGTATGCAACTAACCTTGGAGAAATTCGAAGAAACTAAATCCTACTCAAGCAAAACTTTTAGCTGCTTTGGTCATGCTGGGTTTGGCAATATTGAAAGATATAATAGGATCCTAATTAAAGAATAGTATTATCCAATTCTTCAAGGACATGAAATTTCATCTGGCACAAAGATGATCGCGCGTCTAACTATATATATGATAATCACCCTAAACACATGCACATCTCCTATGTGCCACAAATCTTTTAGAAGCAAACTCGTTCTGGTGATCTCGTTCTCATGGCTTTCCACCTCAAATTCCAGATCTAAAACCTATGGAGCACTTGTAGGATCTCTTTAAACGGAAAAGGGCGAGGCACAGACCCACAAGCCAGGATGACTTAAGGCAAGTGGTCGACGAATGCTGGCAAGGTATTGAACGTGCGACATTAAAAAACCTATGGGATCTATGCCAGCAAGAATAAAGGCCGTTTCAAGAGCAAAAAAGTGGGATACTAAGCATTGACATGTAATGCATGTTTGCACATCAACATACGTTAAATGAATATCATAACATCCCATAGTTGTTGTGCAGCATGTATTTTTCAGTTCACTTATTTACTTTTTTCTAGTTCACTTTTCGGTAAGGTTTTCTGTAGAAAATTAATATATGCTGCTAAAACAATGAAATACAGTCACTGGACTCAAACTTTAGCCTCCTACTGTATATTAATATAATATATAGTTATACATAGTTATATTATAACAATTAAGTGTCGCCTTTTATCCTTTTTTCTATAGCTATTTTCGCGTACGCGTTGTTTAGCATGTAAACGCATTGTAACTGCATGTAATTCTCCGGTAGGCGGTGTATGTTTATGTACTCAAATTTGTGACGTTATAGGGCATTGCATAAGCTATAAACTGCGAATGTCAATAGAATTAGGCACTATTAAATATACTAGTCTACAAAATTACTGATCATGATGTAGCTATTATCTAATTTCCAACCCTTATAGCATAGCGTGCATGCGTATTAATATCACTGACACTGCACATTTGAGTATTTTTTACTGCTGGCAGACAGACAAGAATAATTTCAAGGTTTTCAAAGAGAGTTACACATTCACGTAAAAAGAAGTTACGATAGACGATACAATTCGCAGGCACAAATAGACAAGATGAAGTAATTCACCGTTTTTCACAGATAATTCCGAACACGATTGGGCAATGCAAATTTCGCAAATTGAACCGGTTGATAATATTAAAAACAAGACTGCACTGGCGTTAATTCCGGCACACGTGCCATGCAGTCTTCTGAACATAAACAATACAGTTCATATTCGCATTTAGATGCCTTGCGAACCTACATGTTCGATCGCCTCTCTCCGAATTGTTCAAAAATGTAAATAAACCGCATGATACATTCGCTTTGTCTCACACTTTGCCTTTGGAATTCGCGCTCATATAGTTATATTAAATCTTCAATCCTGTGCAAACTAGGACGTGTCAACGCGCCCATACACGACCACATAATCTTGTTAAAAGGCGAAATAGCAGCGATATTATTAAAATAGTACCAGAATCTACATGTATTAAATATATTCGTACCCCAATTCAATCTAAACTTAATCGAACAGCATGAAATTAAAAGAACGGTTTATTTGTCCCTCTTGGAGGAGTTGCCGTATCATGCGAGCGAAATCGCGCATCGGAAAATTAGCCAAAGCTGTGCACCGCAACTCTTAGCCGGATAAGATTGGGACGTAGATAAAATACGGTCACATACACATTTCAAATACTAGTATATTTCGCGCCATTACAGACTTGCGACGACGAAAAAAAAAAACCGGGGGCGGGGCGGGAGTAATTACTTGATGATAGTACATTTTAAACCCAAGCATTTTCCCGTCCTTGAATATATATACATATACATATACATAAAAAAAACATTCGCGTGTCCGAATCGCCTATCCAAATAGGCTACCAGAGCGAAATGCCAGAAATAAAGCTTTTCATGCAGCATCTATTGTAACTTTATTTTATTCACTTAAAAATACCACGCATGCGCTTAATAACACATATAAATTGTCTAATGATATACTCTAAACTGTCAGAGAAATAATCACATGGTTTCTGCATGTTTTTTGTGTAGAGCGCAGTGGCGTAGCCAGCCCGACAATTTAGTCATGCTATGCTAATATTTTGGTGTTCATTAACTGTGAAAACAATGAATTTCTAAAGAAATGAATAATGATAATAACGTAAAATTTGCATAGTATGACTAAATCTTCAGGCTGGCTACGCCACTGGTAGAGCGAATGGAAATTAGGGAATAGGAAATAAAGTCAGACAAAGTTTCTGTATGGGAACGCGAGACTGACAAAATATAATCTCGAACTGTGTTATTGATACATAGTGTTATGCGCAAAAATTACTAGAATATTTTGAGGCATCAACATATCTATTGACATGCGACACTCCATGCAGGGCCGATTTTTTACAATCCAGTTAGCTGAACCATATATAGATGAATTTATAGTGTAAATCTAGAAATCAATTTGAACAGTTTGTTGCAGCAACTTTCCCTGACTTGATAGAGATTTTTTTCTAAAATCTTAAAACAATAGCTATATACAGGCATTTTATTATTAGCGCTTTATATGCTCTTCCTATACTTCCTAATCATCTTGCAACTAAATTTTTCTCCTACTCAAAGTAATTTATTGCTAATTAAACACATAATACATGTACAGCCAAGTTGAAGTAAAATTTTATGGTTTCCTTGCGAACACCCCGCCAGGAAAGAAAAGGACGGGGTTCTTGTGAAACTGGATATCAACAAAGCCATGTTTGGTGAGCAGCTCTTTACATTCTTTTTCTGTTCGATACCTGTCATGGCCATTCTGGTGTATCGAGAGCACCAACATGCCGTAAATCATGGCCTGCCAAGGTCCTCGTTTGTCGTTATCAAGCATTATTACACCAATCAAAAAACCTCCACCTTCAAAAATGAGTAGAAAAAAGTGTTGAGAAAATGGGCTGAAAGACACTTGCATTGCATGCATGATCACGAGTGCTGACCTGGAGATCACGTTCACTTATTTAAAATAGCTGCGTATAGAAAGAAGGGTCCATCTAAAAATTTCTGCCATATTAATGGGACCAAGCGGAGCCCTCCCTACAGCCTTAAACATGAATTAGGTTACAATTACAAGTGTTATAACAATATTTACAAATACTGCAAATTTTGTGTTGCCAAACTTCATGAGATCAAATCAACCTCTTCGGAGGGCAAAACAATCTCTTCGAAGATCAAATCAATCTCTATGGACCTTGATTATTCCTTGCATGCGCATTCGTAGTAAAAGTAGAAAATTACTAAAGCTGAAATAAAATGTAATGTGGAAAATGCAACTCTCAAAGGTTGGCAATATTATAGTCGTTTTGAAATTGACAATTCTAGTTATCTATCAGTAAATTGATCTTTCAATACCTGAAGGAAGACTGTTGTATATTTTCTTTACCAGAAAATCTATTTTCTCCACACTCCAATCATTAATGAGAGTGACCAAGCTATACAAATCGGCTGGAGGTAGTTTAAAAAAATCGCAAAAATCTCCAGCCACAAACGTGACATTATCTCTGTTCAGGCACTCTTCCAGAGACGGTCTGAAATGATCAGACACGTTGACAACAGTTGGCAGATCAAAAACTATCGACTTCATATTCGGGTAGGTGTTCACAGCAGCGTAGGATAACGCCCCACCTGCACCTACAAACCTGCATTTACAAAATACAAATACTATCGATAAAAAAATAACGTAAAATTGAAACATCTTCTGGAAACTGAATGTAATTTTGTTAAAACGTCAACAACCCGCATTAGTAATTCTAAATGATCGAAACACAAAACATCAATAATACAAAATTGAAAAAAATCAATCTACAGTCCTGCGCATATGAGGCCTGAAAAATGACCTCCAATCGCTGCTTCAACTTCCGCCATTTTTGCTAATTAATTACTTCTGCATTGGCATTTAAAGAGCTGACTGAAATAATCGAGCATGTACGCGATCTACGACGTCACGTAACCGGAGCTCGATGCACAATAATTTGGTTCAGTAGGCTAGACCTTTCAGCGTTTATACTGACCTTCCCGCGGCGCGCCATGCTCTCTGAGATCGCATGAAGACAAGGACGATTTGCGTGCTTTCAAGGAAACCCTTATATTCATGCTAAACTAAATCACTCCTAAACACAGCACCGGCAAAACTCAAAATCTTAACTTGGATAGTCAGGTAATGCATTGCGCGGATGAGAAAGGTGAAAGGAGCACTTGGCTTCATGAAAACAAACCTCCGAGATCACAAAGATGGTTGAATGCAGAAAAGTCGAACGGGCCAAGGACTGAGCTCATTGACATTTTCATACGGCAACCCATCCCTTCTACAAATTCGATTGTTTTTTCTTTGTTGTCAAACAAATTGGTGAAACATTCATCTTCTATATAAGGAAACACCAAATGCTCTCTCCCACTGCCATTTCCCTTCCTTCACTGTGTGCTCGAAATTGGCAACCAGCTTTGAGATGGTTTTTGCTTCGACAATGGCGTATCCATACACCGATTCCGGACTTTTAGGAAGAAGATATCGCTTCGTTTGTTCGGAGTTTGAATAGAGAGCATTTTCTACTTCACCGTTTGGTATTTCTTTCACCAAAAGATCTACGCTCGTGCAATTGTCAAGTAAAACCGTCGTCGCAGTCTCGTCTAAAATCAAGTCTCTCGCCGTCTGACGAGCCGTTCGTCCCCCGTCTTTCGTTTCCAAATATTCAAATATTCCATGATTCAGGGCTGCAAACAACCCGTACGATGCTCGATATCCACAAATGAGGTTGAGAACGTGATAGTTGCTGCATGCAGAGGCTATTTTGTACGCCATATTTGAATATATATATGTATTTTTTTATATACGATGTGTCCTCATTGTTTTATGCCATAGGCATAGCGAATATTTGAATATTGCCCAGCATTTAACGATATTCGACTGCCCCTAAAGGCGGATTTCCATTCAGTGCAAAACGTCTAGCGATCGACTTTTGAAGATCGCTTTATTTTGAAATACAAACAGTCGAGCGGAACTAAAGGGTCGGCGTTAGATCATATCGAACTATATATAAATTTTGCAATAACGGAAGTATAATAACAGAAGTCTTTCATGAAGTCTTTCTAGAGCTGGTTCATAAAAATGATAAAATAAAAATGGCGATGAATGATGATACATTTATACATTTATAAATGTACACGAAAGTGTAAATGTACTTATGTAATAGTATCTCTGGCTTTACCATAATTACGGTTAGGGTTAGGGTTATTGAAAATTTTATGACGTCATGTACGTTAGTTCAATATGATCTAACGCCGACCGAACTAAAGGCGGATTTCCATTCAGTGCAAAATGTCTGGCGATCGACTTTTGAAGATCGCTTTATTTTGAAAAACAAACAGTCGAGCGGAACTAAAGGCGGATTTTAATTCAGTGCAACATGTCGCGCGCCGATTTTATGCGATCGCATTCTTTTGAAATGTGTTCATTCAAGCTCTTCTGATGGGATTAGTTCCGCTAGACTGTTTGTTAAGGCCGCGAGATTTAATGGGGCCGTCTATGGTAGAATGTGACAATTTTTTAAAGCATTACGTAGTATCATTTTTGATGTTTTATCGATAGAAAAGTTTTAATACAAATTCTGCAATATGCGATTTTTTAAAAAGATAAATAACGTTATTTTCAATTTAAAGGAAATTATTTGGACGCTTAATTTGCATTTAACTATATATATCAAGATTTAAGGAGCCATTTTAATAGCTTGATGAGTTGTGTTTGCTGGTCTAACGATCTTCCTAACGTTGATCATATCACTAATCATTTTTCAATGTAACAACGGCGGCAAGAGTTTATATTATATATTGCCATAGCAAAACTATAGTGTGCCGAAAGTTCCGTCGTTATTGTTCACCTTAATGAATGCATGGTTTAATTATAATCGCGAAAGTATGTTCCAAAATCTGAGTAATACGCCATCAGACCATTCATTCCAGGGTACTTAGCTCAAGTGAGGTACATTAGGACGCAGAACTCTCGTCTCAGTTCACCTAGTGGGATGATCGGTTCCTGGATAGATCGTGAATAAACACGAAAAAAACACCAAATGAATAAATACCTAAGCTGCTGTTTTGATCTGAAGTTGTTGTGCGAGGTCTTGATGTATAAATATCTTCGGACGATCCTCGAGTTTGAAACAGCTGTAAGATTTTCTTGTCATCGTCCCTACAAACACGGAAGTCACTTCCTTAAATGAATCACATTTTGGTTTTGATCATTTTGTTATATTAAAAATATTATTTAAAAATCAGAAAGTGTAATATAAAAGTAATTCGCAGGCGGATATTGACGAGATAAAGTAATGTTTTTCACAGATAATTCCGAACACGATTGGGCAATGCAAATGCAATTCTCGCATATTGAGCCAGTTGATAATATTAAAAATTTCTGGATGATAGTAATTTTAAAACCCTGGTATTTTCCCCGCCCTTGAAAACCATTCGCGTGTCGGAATATTTCAGAATCCGGTTAGCGTAACCATATAATTTTTATAGAGCTTATAGTGTAAATCTAGAAATCAATTTGATCAGTTCGTAGCAGCACCCTTCCCTGACTCGATTGAAATTTTATTCAAAACAATAGCTATAATTATAGGTATTTTATTATTAGCGTTTAATATGTTCTTCGCCCTATATTTCCTAATCATCTTGCAACTAAATGCTACTCCTACTCAAAATTAACTCATTGCTATACATTTACAGACAAGTTAAGGTAAAAGCTTATGGTTTCCTTGCAAATACTCCACCAGGAAAGAAAAGGACCGGGTTCTTGTGAAACTGGACATCAACGAAGCCATGTTTCGTGAGCAGCTCTTTACACTCTTTTTCCGATCGATACCTGTCATTGCCATTCTCGTGCGACGAGTGTCAACATGCCGAAAGTCATGGCCTGCCAGGGTCCTCGTTTGTCGTTATCAAGCATTATTACACCAATCAACAAACCTCCACCTTCAAAAATGAGTAGAAAAAAAGTTGAGAAAATGGGCTAGAAGACACTTGCATTGCATGATGACGAGTGCTGACCTGGAGATCAGTTCACTTGTTTGCTTGAGGAGCCCTCACTATAGCCTTAAACATGAATTGGATTACAATTACAAATGTTAAATACTGTAAATTTTGCGTGTGGCCAAATTTCATGAGATCGAATCAACCTCTTCGCAGGGCAAATCAACCTCTTCGCAGGGCAAATCAACCTCTTCGTACGGCTATTCAATCTTTTCGGAGTTTAAATCAATCTTTTTGGACCCTAATTACTCTCTGTATTTCCATTCCTAGCGAAAGTAGAAAATTGCTAAAACTGAAAGGAAATGTAATGTGGAAAATGCAACTCTCAAAGGTTGGCATAATTATAATAAGTATACAAAAATTACTAATTAATGCAAAATTGCGAACTTCGCACGAAGATACATTTAACAAATTTCAGCATTTTGCCAGTCAACTTTTTATCATTACAACTTTTTAAGTTCAATATCTAAATCAAATTATGTCTAAATCTAAATCTAAATCGATAACGCCATGGAACATGAATATGCCTGGCTAGTCTATGTTACCACCCATGGAGGTTGATTCGATCTCATGTCATTGGCCATTTACGTTAAAGTGAATTTTATAAAGAATAAAAGCATGATAATTCGATCATGTGGGTACAGGTAAGAGTCGTGTTGAAATTGACGATTCTATCTATTAGTAAATTCACTTTTCAATACCTGAAGGAAGACTGTTGTATATTTTGTTTACAAGAAAATCTATTTTCTCCACACTCCAATCATTAATGATCTGGACCAAGCTATACAAATCGGCAGAAGGTAGTTCATCTTTGAAGAAATCCCCAGCCACAAACGTGACATTGTCTCTGTTTGGACACTCTTCCAGAGACGGTCTGAAATGATCAGACAGGCTGACAACAGCTGGCAGATCAAAAACTGTCGACTTCATATTTGGGTAGGCGTTCACAGCAGCGTAGGATAACGCCCCACCTGCACCTATGCATTTACAAAATACAAATACAATTAAAAAAATGAACCTAAAATTGAAACATCTTCTGGAAACATTTCATTGAAGGTAATTTTTTGAAAACGTCGACAATCCGTACTCGTAATTTTAAATAATCGAAACACAAAATCAATCTACAGTCCTGCGCATACGAGGCCAGAAAGATGACCTGCAATCACTTCTCCAATTTCCACCATTTTGGACTAATTATATACTTTTGCATTGGCGTTTACAGAGCTGACTGCAATAATCGCGCACGTACGCGATCGAGAACGTCACGTAACCGGAGCTCGATTAGAAGAGACAGAAGTATGAATGGACCCAAAGTTGGAGGTGTGTCTATCAGCATGTCCGTACCAATTATAAACTATAAAATTCGAGATGATTAAATTGATAGGTAGATTCACTTCAAAACCTAGTTTTGGAAATTAAAAAACCAAGATCTAAACCCATATTAATTTGTACCTGGTACAGAGTACAGACCCCCTGATTCACTAGTTAGTCATTTTTCATAATTGGAACAAATGATAGGTTCTTTTGATGCTGAAAATTTGGAATAATATTGTCTGTTTGGTGATCTAAATGTTGACGCAATCTTTCGACGCAATCAACGCAATTGACCTGCCAACGACCCCCAAAATATCATGAACTGAGAATTAAAAAGCCTTATTGAGCTAAATGGTACGGTAATTAACAAGACAAAATTCTGTTAATTCTGTCAAAAACCTTAGGAGTACATATCGATGGTCATTTTGCCTGGTCAGTGCATATCGATAAGTTTTGTAAAAAGATATATAGACAAAAAAGTATTATAACTTATATCCCAATGAGTACGGTTGTCTAGATCTACTGTACACTAATCCAATTTATATATCCAACCTCATTTTGACTGTTGCTGCTCGGTCTGGGACGAACTTGGTGAAATGCTAACCAATAAACTACAAAAACTACAGAATCGAGCAGTTAGAGTCATTACGAGAACTAGCTATGACAGTATGACACTAATGCAGGTACGTACATTACTCGATACCCTACAGCTGGATTGCCTCTTATTGAGACGAAAAAAAATTAAAAATTAACATTCGGTTTAAAACTCTAAAAGGTAACACTCCTAGCTGTCTACAGAGATCGACTCGCAGCTCAGATTACGTTAGAATTGAATTCTGAAATGAAGTTGAATCTCCCTAAACCACGTACTAATTAATACGAAGTTTTCATGATAGCGGAGCATTGTCGTGGAACAGCCTTCCCGAAAATATACGAACATTACGATCATTTTCTCAGTTTCGGAAGGCTGTAAAATAATACAATAATGCTTAAACTGGACTTCCACACGGCAATCTTGTAAATCAGGGAAATTTTAACCTTTGTAATATAATGTAATTATACTTATAAGTAATCATGCTTCGTTAATATTCTTGTAATTTGTTATACTGAAGATTTTACTGTGTTTTAAATATAGTGTGCGGCAGCCAGAGGAGAAAGCTTTCGAGCTGGTTGCCGCAATGTGAAAGTTTAGTAAGCAGATTTGGTATTTCGGTTAAAAAAAGAAGAAGAGCTAGATATAAATTATTTGAACGATCATACATTGATAAACAACTCATTATAATAACAAGATTACTCTTGACTGAAAAGTAGAAATTTCTTGTATTCCTTTTTAAACGATATGAAAGGCAATAATTTCAAGTATACAGGCATTGTTTTCCATAATTGAGCTGCAAAAAACTTGAATGAAAATTTTCCATAGTTTGTTCGTAGAGCAGGCAAATAGTAATTTTTTTCAAGTGCATAATCTTGTAAAGTAAAAATGAATGTTAGAAACAGGTACCAGCCATTCTGAAAACAGATCTGGAATTTCATGACCTCTACTCCTTATTTGACTTATAAATAAAGCTGTTTTTAATTTAATTAGATTATCAAATTTCAAAATCCTAAGTAATTTATAATATGGACTCAGATCCTCCCGACCACTTACAAAAAATATACACCTAATACATTTGTTACCCTTTGAAGATAACCGTTTTAGCAATTAGTTTTGTAAGTAGTCCCCCAACTCATTAAGCCATAATTCAGATACGGATAAATAAGAGTATAATAAAGATTAATTAACATCTGTATATTAAGATAAGAACGTAATCGAAATAAAATTCCTATATTCTTAGCTATTCTATTGTTAACAGTATAATTTGATTATGCCATTGAAGATGCTCGTCAATACAGACACCAAGATATTTTATACAACTTGTTTGGATAATATTAGGAATGTAAATTAAATTACTTGATTTTGAAGCTATTATCATATAATTTGTTTTCTTAAAATTAATTGAAAGTTTATTTGCTGAACAATACTGGTATACATTATATAATTCATTTATAACATTTTGTAGTGTATTAGAGCTTTTTGATGAGTAAAATATATTAGTATCATCAGTGAATATTCTAAATTGGAGTATTTCAGAAGAATTAGACAAGTCATTTATATAGAGAAGAAAGAGCAGTGGGGCCAGTGGGCCAAGGGTTGACCCTTGTGGAATACCACATATTACTGTTAATATTATCTAACTTAGCATTTCTCATCTGCACAAATTAAACTCTATTAGTTAAATAGCTATAAAACCATTGAAGGGGTAATCCTTTTATTCCATACTTCCATAGTTTTTTCAATAATATATCATGGTTACAGTATCAAATGCTTTCGAAAAGTCTAAAAATTCCACATGTATATAGTTTATTGTCTATTGCTGTTCCCTTTGTTGCATATTGGTTACAATTATAACCTTAATACTTTCACCCCTGCTCAGGATATGATTATGTGATACCTTTAGTATAAGTCTCTCGTTATTTTCCTATATTGACGCTAATTGCAAGTAAGCTGTTCCGTGGGGGCATTCCTTGTTAATTTTGTAAAGATGGGGTCAAGAAAACGAAGATGGTACGTTTTCAATTTATGTAACTTACAAATAAAAATATATATTTTTTAAGATTCCTTCAAAACACGGTTTTATTTTTCTCAGCCTAAAATATACTAATGATGTTATATATAAGTATAGGTTTCAATAAAATGCCTTGAATAATAAATGGCAAACAATTTTTAAATTTGGTCACAATTGTGATCATCATAAACCTGAATTTCTGTATTATTACTCGGGTAGCCGACTGTAGGTTTCGCGATCATTATTATTACTTTTTTTTCGTGTTGCAGACTTAGTCTTCCGCGCGGACAGTCGCGTATTTACAGAGTATCAATATAGCTCAGTTTCAGTGCACGCGGTATTTACCAGCTACATAGCGCAAGTTAACGCCTACTGGGCGTCTTGTTTTTGGTAATAAAATACTAATTATCAGTATTGCTACTTTTTATGTAACAAATTAGCTATTTTTATATACTTTTTGAATGCTTCTTTAAGTCCTTGACAATTCATTTAGATGTTCTGTGGAAAATGTACAAAACCTTGACCAAAATGAGGAGCATTCCCTCGGGAAGTGAGGATGACCGATTTGACAGTGATGACTACTAGCTCGGAATTTGAACCTGGTGATCATGATCTTTTTACAGGTGGAGACAATCATTTACAAATTGAATTTGCAGAAGGTGAAGATGAACAATATGTTATTGATGATGACCATAATGACATCAACAAATGAATCTGACAATGAATCATCTACTGATGAAGCATTTCATGCGACTATTAATAAGAGAAAAAAGAAAACAACTGATAAAAAAATGAAAAAAACAAAGAGGAAAGTATCGAAGTGGGAAATGCGGATTTAAATTATCCTGGTGAGCTGCCAACTAATGTACTCCAGGCTAAAGAAAGAACTAAAGACCTAAAATCAGCATTGGATTTATTTTTTGCAATGTTTAGGAGAGAAACACTTGAACTATTGACCTTAGAGAGTAACAGGTACCGAATCCAGATGAATAAAACAAGAATGGCTCCCCATCACACAGGATGAAATACAGGAACTTATTGGAATAATATTCTACATGTCTGTCGCTCATTTGCCTGGTACGAGAGATTATTGGTCTGAAGCTATGCAACAAAATTTTGTGGTTGAAATAATGCCTGTGAATCGCTTTGAACAAATACTCTCAGTATTACATGTTAATGACAATGAGTTGCAAGTGACAAATGACCAACCTTGATATGACCGACTACACAAAATTCGCCCCCTTACCAAAATTCTACAGAAAAATTTTGCTAATTGTGCTAAGGAAGAAAATCATATGGCTGTTGAAGAACAAATTGTGTCTTTCAAAGGGAGACATTCTCTGAAAGTTTATATGAAAAACAAACCAAAAAAATGGGGTTACAAGATTTGGGCATTAGCTGGGCAATCAGGTTATATTCACAAAAATTACGTACATCAGTGAGGACAACACAGTGCAATCATGTGTGAATGAAGTTGACCCAGCCATTGGCAATAGTGGTGCAGTTGTTCTCAACTTGGTCAAAGATATATGCCAAGGAGTACACATCTATTTTGATAATTATTTTTCCTCTCGCGAGCTGTTACTTTAGGTAAAACATAGAGGGTATGATGCACTTGCACAATTCGTGGAAATCGAAATGGAAATTGTCCGAGAGATGGGCAGGGAACATCAACATGGACTTTCTTCTCAGCACTGTTTTGGCGGAAAAGATGAATGGGCATAACCGAGCATTTATTCGAAGCTAAATTGACAACAGTGTTATCATACCAAGAGGCAACAACAATTCCATCACTGGACTTGTAATTATAGGAGCCTCTACCCTCGCTTTCTTCAACTCTTTTTTGGTCTTCATAGTAAAATCTTACAACAAGAGCATGGGAGGTGTTGATCTCTGTGATATGATGCTTTCATTTTACTGGAATACAATGAAAAGCCACACAGTGCAATCACCTCCTTGATCTGTGCTGTGTCAATGCATGGACACTTCAAAACCATGTTGTTGGCTCGACCAAGTTCTACTTTGAATGCATGCTGATCACTATTGTCACCAAAAAAACCTCCCCACGGGTAAATATTTGATACTGATATTTCAACTTTTGGATATCCTTTTTCAATATAATTGATTGTGCAAAAGTTCTCAAAGATTCAGGAACTCTTAAGATTCATGCAACAAAGGGTTGTCTGTATTTTCAAGAATAGCTTGTTCTGTAGAATACCTATCTCTTTCTTAATCCAAATTGAGATTGATATAAAATATTTTGTTTCTCAATAAATAACAACAGCTGATTATAAATTATACGTTCAAAAATCTAACTAAATGGGGATAAAGTTGATATTGGTCTAAAATTTCCAGCTTCAGTCATAATTCCACCCTTATAAACTGGGGTTATCTTTGAAATTTTCAGTCTGTCAGGGACAATGCCAGTCATAATGGATTCATTATATGATAGTGCAAATGGTATTGCAAGAGGTTGATAAGCCAATCTTACCAATTTGTTAGGAGGCTTTATTGGGGTTAAGTTGAGAGAAAAGTATAGATACATCTGCTGTGCTTCTAATGACATAACAAAACTAGAAGAAGGTGATTTCTTAATATATGACGTTGGGTCAATATTAGTATTCTCAAAAAGTTCAGCTAATATAATGACCCAATGCTAATATAATGACCCAATGCTAATATAATGACCCAATGCTAATAAAATGTTCATTAAATTGATTTGATATGTCGTCTTGTTTAGTAAATGTTTTCCAATTTCTAAGTACTAATCTAGTTGGAGGTGTTTGCCATTTTGTCTGTCTTTTAATCAATGCAGTAATAAGTTTCCACGTTTGTTCAAATTATTCTTATACTTTTGAAAATAATTAATATAATATATATCGATCTTTTGCTTTCTTTTTTAACCTGCTCAGAAATTAACATACTGTTTATATATACTGTTGTACTAATAATGGTTGTTCGCTTAAAAAATTAGTACAATACATTTTTTTCTTTTATTGATTTTAATAATCCATCAGAGATATCCATGGTTTAGATATTTGATCATTTTAGATTTAGAGGCAAGCTTTTAAGGGGCATGCTTATCAATAATACATTTTAAAGTATCTATCACTTTTTCTGTTTTTTTTTGCAAATCTATAACTGGTGAAAGTACAAAAGAGCAGATATCACCCAAATAAGCTTCATTATTAAATTTTTTACAGTCACGAAAATATACCTTTTCTTTATTCCTATAAGGACCTGGGAGTAAGACACACAGAAGATCTGCAAATTATCATGCAGATATATCAGCAGTAATCTTAATAGTACATTATCTGTATAGAAGATGAATTTCTTTAATTAAATTAAATTAATTAATGTTGCAGTGACAAGTCACTCAAGTTGCTTTTGTTATTAGTGGAAGAAAGTTATTACTGTAGATCACATTAAGATACTCTTCAGTTTGACTATGCTCCTCACAATTAAGAAGATTAATATTTAAATTACCTAAAATATATGTATTAGATCAGAAGTAAGCATGTTCATGATTGCTTCAAGTTCCTCTATATCTATAAAGACAGCTAAGCTAGATGTAGGGTGTCAATAAATGCAGCCAATCATTAAATTAGGCTTGTTGGTACAACTATATCTATTTCGACCCAGCAAGACTCTATACTAGAGGCATATTACTTCAAGTCAGGTCTTAAAATGGCATTTAAATTCTTACTAACATGAATGCTTGCACCCCCAGCATTAGTATAAGGGAGTCATGATGAAAGAAATTATAATTAATTAAGTCAATATTATTTACAGACTTAGATTAATTCAACTTAGTCTCAGATATAGCAATATTATATCAATAGATTTATTTAATGTATCTAAAAGTTCATTCAGTATAGTGGAAGATTATTTTGCAAGCTTCTAATATTACCGTACAGTGCATAAAACTCGTTTGTTTATTGCATTAATCAAGAAGTTCATTAAGTTGGCAAGGACTACAGTAGGAGTCCATATCATCAAATTTATTACGATTAATTACTTAGTATATCATAAATATCTTTACTGCGGTCCAATCCATAGCAAATCATAATCAGACATTTTTGTATAAATATTTTAATAGTTAATTTATCATTTATCAAAATAAAATTTAAACACACAAACAGACAGACAGACAGACAGACAGACAGACAGACAGGCAGGCAGGCAGGCAGGCAGGCAGGCAGGCAGGCAGACAGACAGACAGACAGACAGACAGACAGACAGACAGACAGACAGACAGACAGACAGACAGACAGACAGACAGACAGACAGACAAACCAACAGACAACTTATCTGTTAGTACTGGCTATAATTGTAACGTTTATATTCTTTATTTAACGTTTATAAGGAAACGTTTATATTCTTGCTAAACTAAATCACAGCGCCGTCAAACTCAAAATGTCAAGTTGGATAATCAGGTCATTCATTCCGCGCATAAAAAGGTGAAAGGAACTTAGCTTCATGCAAATTAACAAACCTCCGAGATCACAATGATGGTTGAATTCAGAAAAGTCGAACGGGCCAAGGACTGAGCTGATTGACATGTTCATACGGCAACCCATCCCTTCTACAAATTCGATCATTTTTTCTTTGTTGTTAAACAAATTGGTGTAACATTCATCTTCTAAGGAAACACCAAATGCTCTCTCCCACTGCCATTTCCCTTCCTTCACTGTGTGCTCAAAATTGGAAACCAGCTTTGACATGGTTTTTGCTTCGACGATGGCGTATTCATACAACGATTCCGGACTTTTAGGAAGAAGATATCGCTTCGTTTGTTCTGAGTTTGAATAGAGAGCATTTTCTACTTCACCGTTTGGTATTTCTTTCACCAAAAGATCTACGCTCGTGCAATTGTCAAGTAAGACCGTCGTGGCAGTCTCGTCTAAAATCAAATCCCTCGCTGTCTGACGAGCCGTTCGTCCCCCGTCTTTCGTTTCCAAATATTGAAATATTCCATGATTCAGGGCTGCAAACAACCCGTACGATGCTCGATATCCACCAATGAGGTTGAGAACGTGAGAGTTGCTGCATGCAGAGGCTATTGTGAACGCCATATTTAAGCCGGTGCGAAGGAACTACTTCCGCCCGGAGATTTTTAAAATTACGCCCGGGAATCGGGAATGCAAATGCGAAATCAGGACGAAATGAAAGTTGTCCGCACTGTTGTCCGCCATTTTGTTTGCACAGCTATCTTGGATGTTTACTTTCGTATATTACGCATGCGCTGTTAAGACAATCCATAAGCAGATAGCTTTCATTTTGCCGCACGCGGAAAGATTTTGGCACGCGAGGCAGAAATTATCAAACATGCTAGATATTTGGCGTATTAAAGTGGCACGAATGACCAAAGTCGCCGGAAAAGTCGCCCGCACACGAGAGCGACTGCCTTACGTAAATGACCACGAATGACTTTTTGCTAAGCACATAACTCTAGTGTGCGCCGGCCCAAGTTTAATCGTTCAACGTCTTAATCTTAAAGAAACAAATTCTCGCGGGGCCACTCTTGAAAATTTCTGCGTTTAATTTTGCCTGACACTTCGGCACTAAGACGTTGAACGATTAGTTCAGATTAAGCTCTTCTAATGGGATTAGTTCCGCTTGACTGTTTGTTATAGCTACAAGATTAATTGGGTTAGTAGATAGCTGCATATTTGAAGCCAAACACTATTTGTTTTGTTTTCTTGGTCTTGGCTTTTTGTTTTCTTGATAGCACAAGTCGATGATGTCCAATTTTTCGCGCAAAACTTATTCTCCCATGCGGCTAATCATCCTTTTGGCCAATCAAAATAAATCAAATAAATCGTTCTCGCACGCGTGGCATATTTGTGACCAACTTATTGGCGTTCAGCAGCTCATTCGACTACCAGCTTCTTTGTGCTTAACATCACCTGTGTGTGAAGATTGTTTTCTGACATGCAACACGTTACATTAGCAAAAAGTGTAATAATACTGTGCGTTTTATTACGCGTACCAGCTTTGTAAGCGTACTAACTACTTGATCGAAGATGAACGACTGCCTGCAGCAGCTCGCATATTCTATGTATTCGATTCTGCGTGATCAAAATTAAACGTTTGTACGCATATTCCGTGAACTCGATCAAAACTAAAAGACTGCGCGCATATTTTGTGTACCCGATTAGTTATTTTATTTCAAAATTTGATATAATTATATTATTATAATCATTTTTGTTGCTAAAACGGCTATGGGCAATCGATGATTCACGGAATCTTCAGTCCCATTCCCCCCTCCCCTCGTTTTAAGTTAACCTGCGATATTTTTGCTGTGCCTGCCAATCTTCTGCTTTTATTTATAAACTTTATCAGCTCGAAGTAACTCCTAAGTAGCTCGAGTAGACTCTTGGTGTCTTGTCGTTAACTTCTATTGTAAATTGATAGTGCTTGAAACAGTTTTGTCATAACAACAAATGTGAAAAACGCTTGAAAACGTTAAGCTCTTTGTTTATAACAATATGAAGCGAACATTGTGAGGACATTTCATTTGGAAACAATCATTTTATTCAAGGGAGGTTTCGCAATGATTCATATTAATTAGCTATGAAAAAAAATCGAACATAAAAAGTCGTATCTGATTCCAAAAATGACCGTCTATAACTGGAAGTTTAAAATCCTAAGCTCTAATTAAGCGCGGAAAACATTAAATTTAGCTCACGGGAATTTACGTCTAGTTCCAGTTCATTTCTATTGTTGGTGACCGCACGGTTTGCAGAACTAGCATAAAAGAATTTTTTTTCGTATAATTATGTCGTTTTTCTGAGACGTTTTACTGAGAAGTTTAAGTAAAAGCTTATGGTTTCCTTGCAAACACTCCACCAGGAAAGAAGAGGACGGGGTTCCTGTGAAACTGGACATCAACAAAGCCATGTTTGGTGAGCAGCTCGTTACACTCTTTTTCTGTTCGATACCTGTCATGGCCATTCTCGTGAACCGAGAGCATCAACATACCGTAAATCATGGCCTGCCAAGGTCCTCGTTTGTCGTCATTAAGCATTATTACACCAATCAAAAAACCTCCACCTTCAAAAATGAGTAGAAAAAAAAGTTGAGAAAATGGATTGGAAAACACTTGGATTGCATGATGACGAGTGCTGACCTGGAGATCAGTTCACTTATTTAAAATAGCAACGTATATAGGAAGCAGGTTCCATCTAAAAATTTCTGCAATAATATTGGGACCAGAGCGGAGCCCTCACTATAGCCTTAAACATTAATTGGATTACAATTACAAGTGTTAAATACTGTAAATTTTGTGTGTGCAAAGCTTCATGAGTTCAAATCAACCTCTTCGGAGAGCTATTCAATCTCTTCGGAGGAAGGAAAACAATCTCTTGGGAGTACAAATCAATGTTTAAGGACCTCAATTACTCTCTGTATGTGCATTCGTAGTAAAAGTAGAAAATTACTAGAACTGAAAGGAAATATAATATTGAAAATGCAACTCTCAAAAGTTGGCATAATTATTATAATAATATACCAAAATTACCAATTTATACAAAATTGCGAATTTCGCACGAAGATACATTTCACACATTTCAGCATTTTGCCAGCCAACTTTTTATTATTACAACTTTTCAAGTTCACTGCCTAAATCAAATTTCACGATAATGCTATGGAACATGAATATGCCTGGCAAGTCAATTTTACCACCCATAGTGTCATTGGCCATCCACGTTAAAGAATTTTATACAGAATAAAAGCATGATAATTCGATCATGTGGGTACAGGTAAGAGTCGTGTTGAAATTGACAATTCTATCTATTACTAAAATTCACTTTTCAATACCTGAAGGAAGACTGTTGTATATTTTGTTTACAAGAAAATCTATTTTCTCCACACTCCAATCGTTAATGATAGTGACCAAGCTATACAAATCGGCAGGAGGTAGTTCATCTTTAAAGAAATCCCCAGCTACAAACGTGACATTATCTCTGTTCGGACACTCTTCCAGAGACGGTCTGAAATGATCAGAAACGTTGACAACAGCTGGCAGATCAAAAACTGTCGACTTCATATTCGGGTAGGCGTTCACAGCAGCGTAGGATAACGCCCCACCTGCACCTATGCATTTACAAAATACAAATACAGTTAAAGAAATGAACCTAAAATTGAAACATCTTCTGGAAACATTTCATTGAATGTAATTTTGTGAAAACGTCGACAATCCGTATTCGTAATTTTAAATAATCGAAACACAAAATCAATCTACAGTCCTGCGCATACGAGGCCAGAAAAATGACCTACAATCGCTTCTCCAATTTCCGCCATTTTGGGCTAATTAATTATTTTGCATTGGCGTTTACAGAGCTGACTGCAATAATACACGCGATCTACAATGTCACGTAACCGGAGCTCGATTAGAAGAGGCAGAAGTACAAATGGACGCAAAGTTGAAGTTGTGTTTATATATGTCCGTATCAATTATAAACTATAAAATTCGAGATGATTTAAAGATAGATGCACTTGAAAACCTAGTTTTAAATTAAAAAGACAAGATTTAAACCTATTAATTTGTACCTGGGACAGACCCCCTCATTAACCAGTTAGTCATTTTTCAGAATTCGAACAAATGATAGGATCTTTTGATGCTGAAAATTTGGAATGTCATCTGTTGGTAATCTAAATGTTGACTACATTCCAAAAAGTGAATTATCAAACAGACAAAAAGTGCAGGAAATACTAGACATAATATGATATAGAGCAATTGATAAATGAACAAACAAGAATCACAGCTGCATCAAGTACGTCAATAGATCTATGTCTTACAAACAAGCCAGCTAATATTGTCAAATATAATCTGATACTCTACACATATTCATCGATATGATACGTAAGGCCCACTATAGAAACTCCACAGAATCCTAGAATAATAAATACTGGATCAATAAAAAAATTCAATCGAGAATTCTTTTTAAATGAGCTGGAACAAAAAAAAAATGGGAAAATGTTTATTATTTCCAAGACGCAAACGAAATGTGGCATAACTTGGAAAGTATGCTGATAGAAACTTATTAACAAGCATGCACCACTTAGATCCAGAAGAATTAAAAACAGGAAATCACCCTGAATCACAAATGAACTAAAACACCGAATGTTTTATAGAGGCTACATGAAAAAGTTATTTCATCGGGCCATGAACTAGAAATTTGGAATCATCAATACAGACAAACAAAAAACCAGGCTATATTGTATTGAAATTAAAAAAACCAAGCAATCTTTTACAAGAATAGTCTTGAGATAATGGTAATTTGAAAAAATCTTGGAAATTTGTAAATGAGCTGAGCTCTCGATATGCTTGTAAAACTAACCGAATAGCTCAACTAAAAGTTGAAAGACAAGAAATATCTACGCCCAGAGAAATAGCTGAAACACTTAATAACAGCTATTTCTCAAACATTGGTGAAAAATGTGCTTCAAAAATTTCTACCTTCCGAACATGAACCAAGTTTCTGTCTCAAAAAAACTGGTATTCTCAGTCCAAGCTCCACAGGTTGATACCGTATATCAATTGCTGAGCAGAATAGATGAGAGAATATCGGAAGGTTTCGATAAAATACCGAATAAACTATTAAAGATATAGCTGCCGCTGTGATTGCAGCTTCACTAAATGGAGTATTCGCTGCATCAATTAGAACAACAATATGCCCAGGTGAATGGAAAGCGTCTAGAGTGACACCCATCATGAACAAGAACCGATCAAGAACCAATCGTCTTCGATCAGCTATAAGAATACCTAGATGGCAATAACCTGCTAAATGCCGGTCAAACTGGCTTTCAATCCTTCCACAGTACCCTAACAGTACTGTTGAAGCTACATTTGACCAGTCTATATAAATATTGACAACGGCCTAGTAAATGCATGGCGTTGTGTTTATTGATCTAAAAAAAGCTTTCCATCAAATTACTCTATTAAAAAAAACTTGGTTGAACCGATGAAACCTGGTTTAACCTGGTTCCATTCCTATCTTACTGATCGAACTCAAAAATGTAGGGTCGATAACGAACTCTCAAATTCTGTACCAGTCACTCCTGGTGTCCCACAAGGTAGCAGCTTAGGAGCATTCTGTTTCTCATTTACATAAATGACCTACCAAACCGCCTGAACCATGCAACAACACCAAGGATGTTTGCTGATTACACAAGTCTCAGCTATGCGTCGAATTTTGCGAACAACCTCCAAAGTATCCAAACTCATTGCAATCTCATTGCAAAGCTTTAATGAGCGGCTTGTCACAAATAAACTAGGTCTAAATATTGTGAAAACAGAGTTCGCGATAATCGGATCTCGGCAAAGAATAACTAAATCGTAAGGTAATTAATAAGACAAATTCTGTCTTAGGAGTACATAGCCTATAGATGGTCATCTTGCCTGGTCAGTGCATATCGATAATTTTTGTAAAAAGATAGCTCCGGCATGCAATAGAAGCATTAAAACGTATTATAACTTATATTCCAATGAATACGGCTGTCCAGATCTACTATACACTAATTCAACCTCATTTTGACCATGCTGCATGCTCGGTCTGGGACGAACTTTGTGAAATGCTAACCAATAAACTAAAAAAACTACAGAATTGAGCAGTTAGATTGATTACGCGAACTAGCTATGACACTAATGCAGGTACGTACATTACTCGATACCCTACATCTGGATTGCTCCTCATGGAGACGAAAAAAGTTAAAAATTAACTTAGTGTTCAAAACTCGAAACAGTAACACTCCTAGCTATCTACAGAGGTCGAATTGCAGCTCAGATTACGATTGTAGTTGAGGCTCCCTAAGCGACGTACTAATTGTTTAAAACGAAGCTTTCTTTGCAGTGGAGCATTGTTGCGGAACGGCCTTACCGAAAATATACGAAAATTACAATCATTTTCCTAGTCTTGGAAGGCTGTAAACGAATACTATAATGCTTAAACTGGACTCCCACACGGCAATCTTGTAAAATAGTTAAATTTTAACCTTTGGAATATTATGTATAATTATTTATATGTATATGTCTCGTTAATGTTCTTGTAATTTGTTATACTGAAAATTTCTGTGTTTTAAAAAAAATCGGTTGATTTGATTCATAGACGATAATTTGGTTCAGCACGCTAGACATGCATCTCAGCGTTTACTGCGTTCTCGCGCGCGCGCGCCATGCTCTCTGACATCGCACTGTTCAAGAAGACAGGGACGATTTGTGTGTTTTCAAGGAAACCCTTATATTCATGCTAAACTAAATCACTCCTAAACACAGTGCCGTCAAAACCCGAAATGTCAAGTTGGATATTCAAGTCATGATCAGATAATCAATGGCATTGCGCGCATGAGAAAGGTAAAAGGAACACTTAAAAGCTTCATGCAAACAAACCTCCGAGATCGCAAAGATGGTTGAATTCAGAGAAGTCGAACGGGCTAAAGACTGAGCTCACTGACATCTTCATACGGCAACCCATCCCTTCTACAAATTCGATCATTTTTTCTTTGTTGTCAAACAAATTGGTGTAGCATTCATCTTTTAAGGAAACACCAAATGCTCTCTCCCACTGCCATTTTCCTTCCTTCACCGTGTGCTTGAAATTGGCAACCAGCTTTGACATGGTTTTTGCTTCGACAATGGCGTATCCATACAACGATTCCGGACTTTTAGGAAGAAGATATCGCTTCGTTTGTTCTGAGTTTGAATAGAGAGCATTTTCTACTTCACCGTTTGGTATTTCTTTCACCAAAAGATCTACGCTCGTGCAATTGTCAAGTAAAACCGTCGTCGCAGTCTCGTCTAAAATCAAGTCCCTCGCTGTCTGACGAGCCGTTCGTCCCCCGTCTTTCGTTTCCAAATATTCAAATATTCCATGATTCAGGGCTGCAAACAACCCGTACGATGCTCGATATCCACCAATGAGGTTGAGAACGTGATAGTTGCTGCATGCAGAGGCTATTTTGAACGCCATATTTGAGTATATATGATCTGTATTTATAAATTATACGAATTGAAATTCGAAACTTAACAAGCATTCGACCCCTGGGGTGTTGGATGTTATCTGTGTTAAAAATTCTCGTATATTTGCGTGTTCTTGAGATCTCGCGCGCTGCACTGCGTGATGTTTTATGACAAAGGCCTCTGAAGAGTGCAAGTGTCCTCATTGTTTTATGCCACGACGAATATTTCAATATTGCCCACAACGGCCTCACTAAATTAACGATATTCCGCTGCCCTAAAGGCTAAAGCCCCTTTAATAAAAGTCCACAACATTTGATGGGGCCGTCAATGGTAAGATGTGACGTTCAGGGTTAGTAGATAATCTACATGTATTAAATATATTCTGACCCCAATTAAATCTAAACTTAATCGAACAGCATCAAAAGAACGGTTTATTTGTTCTTCTTGGAGGAATTGCTGTATCATGCGAGCGAAATCGAATCGCGCATCGGAAAATTAGCCAAAGCTGTGCACCACAACTATTGGGAGACAAAACTGGGACGTAGATAAATACCGTCACATACTCATCTTAAATACTAGTTTATTTCGCGCCAAACACTCTTGCGACGGCGAAAAAAACAAAACAAAACAAAGCCAAGGCAAATTTCCAACTCCGGCGTGAGCGACAGAGTAATTATATCAGTTTGTTGCTAAATGCAATCGACTCCCCATTCCCGGCCCTCTTAAAGATACCCTCGTTTTATGTTAACCTGCGATGTTTTTGAAGCGCCTGCCAATCTTCTGCTTTTATTTATAAATTTTATCAGCTGAAAGTAACTCCTTTAAGGCGCTGTTACACAATGCAACTCTCCTTGCAACTTGTAATACAATTGATCTTAATTTGTAAAGAGTGTTCAAAATTCTCAGAAAACGTTTGCAGATTGTAAGAAATGTTGGTATTTGCCAACTTTAAATGGCCCGGGAGTAGAATTGCACCGCAACTTGCAAGAAAAGTTGCGTAGTGTAACAGCACCTTTAATTAACTCGAGTAAACGCTTAGCAAGCGTCTTGTCGTTAACTTCTATTGTAAATTGACGGTGGTTGAAACCGTTTTTTCATAACAGCGAATGTGAAAACGCTTGAAAACGTTATTGTGGGATAGCCTTAAGCTCTCTGTTTATAACAATATGAAGTGAGCATTGTGAGGAAATTTCATCGAAAACCATCATTTTATTCAAGGCGCTGATTCGCAGTCATACATAATTAGCCATCTAAAACATCGAGCATAAAAATGTCGTACGTGATTGTCAAACCAAACTGGAAGTTTAAGATCCTAAGCTCTAAGCGCGGAAATTAAGCATTAAATTTAGCTGACAGGAATTTACGTCTAGTTCCAGCTCATTTCTATTGTTGTTGACCGCACGGTTTGCACAACTAGCATACAAGAATTTTTTTTCGTATAATTATGTCGTTTTTCTCACATCATTTAAGGAAATCCCAAATTTTCTCACATCATTTAAGCAAAAAAAGAATGATTTTGCTTATAGCTGACACAAATTTGCAACACTTTCGATTGCTGTCGCCATAGTTACAAATATATGACTTCTCATTGAATAAAATACAGGGTTGGTGGGGGAAATAATAGGAGTAAATTAATTAAGGCCTATAAATCGACGGGCTAAATTTCATCAAGCTAAACGCAAAATATTGAATTCTCGTATTCAAACATACGGTTGAAAGATACGATTACAATAACTATCGTATTGAAAGATACGGTTTCTTTCTCGTGGGCATATTTTTGTGTTTTAAAGTGCTGGCAAATTTTTAACCACTTTCTCGCTTTACACAAAAAGTAAAAATACGGCAAACGTTTGTTCAAGAGCATCTTAAAATAATGATTAACAACTTTGTACAATACTGCATCGTTAGAAAGCATCACATGGTATAAAATTTCTGTACGGCTTCCCCATTAGGTGGTGCGCATTACCTGACCTAGGCACCGCATTGATTGATGTCTTTAATAAATAAACGACAAAAAGTTCGCCAAGGTAGGCATATCTTTGACCCCAATAATCATTCTTCCTACGTCTCCACAGTTTCATCACAGCTTTCTCCCTCACTTTCACTTCCTGATTGATCACTACTACTGTGCTCATTATTACCACCAGATAACAAGCTGAGCAATACACGAAAACGACTTTCCACCTGAATAAAACACATGATGCATGTAAACGGTAATATATATATCTGCGCATTTCTAGGTCACGTTGGCTTGACCTGAGAGGAATTATTAACCTACAGTAACTTGGGCAAGATGAAGATCATTCTCTGATAATCTGTTTTGTTCCGCATGGGATCAATGCTGAATGTTTAATTTAAACAAGGGTATATTGAACATTTAATGTTTGGCAAAAACATAAAAATTTAATAGGAAACATACCTAGAGCGTAAAACGTTAAAAAATGGCCACCAAATTGAGTACAATTCGTGTTTATTTCGCAAAGGAGTTCGGTGACCAACAATTTTTATCCCATTAAAAGTATTGCGTAGTATCATTTTTGATGCTTTATCGATAGAAAAGTTTTAAGAAAAATTCTGCAATGTGCGATTTTTTAAAAAGATGAAATAACGTTATTTTCGAATAGAACAGAAGCCAAGCTTCCAGGAAAATATTTGGACACTTAATTTACATTTCACTATTTCAAGACTTATGGAGCCATTTTAATAGCTTGATGAGTTGTGTTTGTTGGCCTAATGATCTTTTTAATGTTCTTAACGATCACGTCACTAATCATTTTCAAAAGTAAAACTCTAGTGTCATTGCCGAAGATTCCGTAGTTATTGGTCACCTTAATGAATGGTTTAATTATAGTTGCGAAAGTATGTTCCAAGATCTAGGTAATACGCCATCAGACCATTCCAGGGTACTTAGCTCAAGTGAGGAACGTTAGGACGCAGTACTCTCGCCTCAGTTCACTTAGTAGGATGATCGGTTCCTGGATAGATCGTGAATAAACCCGAAAAAACACCAAATGAATAAATACCTGAGCCGCGGTTTTGTTCTGAAGTTGTTGTGCGAGGTCTTGATAAATACCTTCGGACGATCCTCGTGTTTGAAACAGCTGTAAGATTTTCTTGTCATCGTCCCTACAAACACGGAAGTCACTTCTTTAAATGAAACACATTTTGGTTTTGATCACTTTGCTATATTAAAAAAATTATTCAAAAATCAGAAATTGTAATATAAAGGGAGACGACGTACCTCGTCCAGATAACCGACTTTCCATTTTCGTCCACGTCAAGATTGTTCGCTGAAATCCGTTTTCCCACATCATTTGAAGATTTGTTGACAGGTATTACATTTTGGTGTTGAGAAATATCTCCTGCACACTGTACAGAGTCTTCAGGTTTCTCTTCCGAACCACACTTTGAAGAACCAGGTATTGCAATATTTTTTTGGCTTTCAATAGAAACAATTTTTGATTTTATTTCATCACTAGCCGCCGAGTTCTGGCACTGTACCAAAGACCCTGGGGAATTATTTGTTATTGCGATCATATCAATAGTCTCACTACTCCAGTCCGAAAAAGCTTCCGATGCTGACGTAATCTGACTCTCTTGGCTTGCCTCAGGTGAATCAATGTAATCTTCATCAAACGGATCATCCGCTGACTTGCATTCACTAGCTGGAGTACTAGGGTTGCTATTATCACTGGCATATTTCGTTATATTCTCGGTATCAGTAAAATTTTCCAGTGTTTCACTATCACTGTTAATTTTATCCATGGCCTCATCGTAATCCTCCTCATCAGATTCTAAAACTTTATCACAATTATCCTCCATATCTTCAGGGAAATCATTCACTTCTCCAAGATTATCGATTGCTTCATCAAGATCATCGCCGTCCTTTTCACCGGCATTTTTATCGTTATCGTCACCCTTCTTTAACTTCCGATATTTTCTAGAGATATTCCTATTGGTAGGTTTTACCGGCGTCTTATCGAATTCTCTTGTCTTTGTCAAATTTTTCTTCACGTCTGGTATGACAAGCTCTTCGAAATCATCAACCTAAAAAATGAAGACGTATAGTATCATGAAGCTGGGTGACGAGGAGAAAAACCAGGTTCTATAACTGATATTCCATAAGATATTTGAATCATTTTCCGCGAATATTCTGGTGTTTTATACACCTTTTTAAAAAGAGCTACCTCGCCCTGGGGAAATATCATCGCTTTCGGAAATATTTCGCCTAACCCCTTCACTCCTGGAGCCAGTTGTGAGTTAGGTAATTCCGAGTTAACTAGGATTGAACTATATGCAAAATGTAGTTAAAGCGTTTTATTCAACGGCCCTTGGTCTATAAAGATAAATGTTAATCAACCAGATTAGGGCTGTATCTGAGAAGGAGGGTTGGTGTTGTTGGAGACAAGACACAGCTTTGCAGTTTTAAACGGGTACTTTGTAAGCAACGGCATCATATACAATACTGAACGTGGGGCTCTCTATTTATCCGCTATTATATCCATAAAATCATGACGATTAAATACAGTCTGACCTCGATTTCACTTCCACTTCCAAGGTCAACTTCCTCAAAATCATCACTGTGGCTGAAATAACAATAAAATTGGAATAAAATAAGACAAACAAAATAGAGCGTTCCATCTATTCAACATAGCTGAAGAAATTTTGACTCGTATTCACATAAATCGAGTCGGATGCAAAACAAAATATATTATGCAGAGGGCAAAAAATAATTGAATCTCCGGCAAAATTGTCAGTAGCAGCTAGCGATCATCAACCACCAGGAAAATGAGTAACGCCTAAATACGTATAACTTTGTACTGCATGTTCAAGTTTTATCGGGTGGTTTACAAAGTATGCCAGGAATTATTAGTATACATCGACGGAGGAGGAAGTTTTGTATCCGGCATATAATTATATAAATATATAAACTTGCAATCATTACCATTGTTCGGGTTTTAATTGCTTGAAAAATGAATTGAATTCCTCGATCAGATATTGCTGTCCCTTTAGGAGAGGAACGACTGCTTCGTACAACTGAAAAAAACCCCACATAAAATAGTTACCTAAAGTAATAGAGTTTAGGTTTATTTACTTATTTATATTTTTTACCCTTTATTTATTAGTAACGCTTTTCCCACTGGTGAAAAATGTTTCTTTAAAATTGCTGCAAGTACCTTCTCTTCTTTCTCACTCGATAATGATTCCCGCGAGTTGAACGCTGAGAATGCCTTGATAATCTTTTGAAAATGTGACTGATTCTTTGAGAAATGGTTCTGTTCAGAGAAAAGAGATTATGTATGCGTCAAAGGCCGGCAATTTGTTTAAAGCTCGAATAGTGTGACCAACATTGAATTTTTTTTAGAAGCATTCTCGATATATCCCACAAAGACCCTTCTAATAATGTAACTTACCTCAACTCGCTCAAGAAATGCCCTCGCTTTTAAAATATCCTTATTTCGCATAAACTATGGAAAGTTAGAAAAAAAAGGCAATTAGTTCGATGTTATCAATACAATTGCTTTTGCATTTTGTGAAGATAAAAATATACAAATGGATTTTTTCCGCCACAAAAAAATCTTACCTCTCCAGCATCCAAGGCCTGATGAGGTTCAAGAAAACCGACAAAATCACGAACCAAGTCCGGAAAATCTTTCAAAACTACAGCAACTTCATTGTAAATCTTTTTAAAAATATTTAAAATAACGTTATTTTCACGTGTGTTAATACGATATTTCTCAGCAGCTAAAAACTCTACAATTATAACACTTTTGTTTAACAGTAATTGGTATGTTTCATTTAAACAACCGTTTAAGCTAAACGTCTTTCGAATTAACAACCGGCCCCAGAAGTGCAATCATGGATATACATATAGTCATTCATCTGATTAGTGCCGAGATTTTTTGGAGCTCAATTTGCGTAGCTAATATAGAATAAATAAAAAGAGCTTTCGATATTTTACCCTTGTTGGACTCCAGGCATTAATTTTTGAATCCGCGAGAACTCTTAGGAACGATTGATAAGTAAGGCTGTCTTTCTTCACCTCTCTCTATATAACGTAAGGCAGATATTATATTAATTATATTGAAGTAATCACTATGATATTTTGCACAAGCCATTTTGAAATAACATATGCATGCATATATAAGCCCCGTTTACACTACACTCGATATATTGGCACGGCACGGCTAAAATGGGTACCCGTACCAATTTCATCTGTGCTCGGCTTTTGTTTTGGTAGCCTGAACACTAATAAAATTGGGTATGGGTACCAATTTTAGCCGTGCCGTGCCGATAGATTGAGTGTAGTGTAAACGGGGCTGTAGACTAAAGCGCCGTTTACACTATACGCTCAATTTATCGGCACGGCACGGCTAAAATTGGTACCCGTACCCAATTTTATTAGTGTTCAGGCTACCAAAACAAAGGCCGAGCACAAATGAAATGGGGACGGGTACCCATTTTAGCCGTGCCGTGCCAATAAATCGAGTGTAGTGTAAACAGGGCTTAAAATCGTAAGCTTTATAACTACGTGCACGTAAAATCCTAAGCGAGGCAAAATAAGAGTACAAAATGCTTAGATTACCTTGACATTGTTGAGATATGACTCCGCGAATGAGAGAGCACGAATCTAAATATAGGAAACACTGTACTGTTGAGCATAATTTATGCCAGCTCCTTAAAATTAGCGCTTTAAACAGATGTTTTCAGTAATTTTTCTGCGCCTGCATGTGTAGATCGAAGGACGTTTAAGTATTATAATATTATCATCACCTTTGCATCTTCACTTGTATCAGTGGGCAGGCCTTCACGATTTCCATCGTCTACGCTTCCACCAAGAGTTTCCTCGCTAGTTGGTTGTATATTCTCTTTCTCTGAACCTTGCAAAATTGTGCAAGAAGCATGATCCGTAGTCATCTCAGCTGCGATTTCACTTGGGGAACTGCGTTCGGGAGTCGATGTTTGATTTTCTACAAGTTGTGTGGTTGGTGTGGAAGAGCTCTGAGTTAGCGTCTGTTTTTGAGCCGTTGGTAAGGTTTGTGTGAAACTAACAACAGTTGTTTGATTCGGTAACGTCTGTGAGGCTGGTATGGGAATGTTCTGTTGGTGTGGGGATGTTAATATTTGACTTGGTAGCGATGTCGACGTGGACGCGGGGATATTTAGATTCAATGATTGCCTTTGCACTGTTTGAAACGTTTGTACGGGCATGTTTTCAGCAGGCCTTAGCAAAGGCTTCAAATATGGCAATATTTGCCTCATTCTGTCGTTAGGTGAAGAAACAGAGGTTCTAAAGAAAATGGAAACGAGCAAGAGAAATGAGAACACCATACGCACTCACCAACATAAAAACTGAATGGATACTTGCATGCAGGTCGGGAATTATTTATTATCACAGTAATTAACGTGTAACAATTTCACTTATTGATCTATTTTATTAAAACTTTATGTTGATTTTATGCTCTTTATCTAGTACCGTAACGTTGACCTTACACTATTATTTTGTTCCATTTGTATATACTCATATTGTGATTCGTCTGAATTATACATGACCATGGAATTCTCCACCGTACAGTTCGCTCAAGTGTTGAAAGTTTATTATTACAACAAGATTTTGTTATTATATAGACCATGGTCAAGTGGCTACGTTAACGCTGGTTTTCGCTCGGGGAAATCATCCTCTGGACGGCATCGGACAGAAACGTTTCTTTTATCAGTGCTAATTTTAATTTTTATCAAAGCTAATTGTTTTAAACACAAAAGAAACTACACTGTTTAATCCGGTCCGAAAGATAATTTTCCTGAGTGGAAACCAGCCTTTAAAAGGAGTATTGGAATCTGACTTTGACAATACCGATGCACTCGAATGATGTTTGTTACGAAACAAGGGATAACAGAATCAACTAAAATTGACTTATAAAAACTGAAATTTTATTGGCCAGGCAGGAAAACATATTTACCTTGTAGAGCTTCCATTCCCACCAGCATTGTTGCCGTTGGCCTGGGTGTTAATACCTTCCAATGTAGCATTTTTGCTAACTTCCACTAAGCGGACATTAAACGGGACACCTGGCGGTCGCCCGCTGATTAGAAGACTTTCGGTGTTTTTAATGACTGGATCCTTCACAATAATAGTCGGAATATTCTACGAAAAGAAGAATCGTAACATGGTTAAAATACAGGGCGAAATTCCGGAAATCGGATTCCGATAACATGCAGCTGAATTACATATTTCTTTCATATTTCACAAGTGAAATATGGAAAATATGAGTGTTTTAGTTTTCGTAAACACCTATGTCGATATAATCAAGAAGAGTATACACCGCATGTTTTCTGACGGTGACATCTTTGCGTGCCACACTCTGTTTTACCTCATATGGTATACCATAGACCGGTGGATAATGAACTGACGTAGGACAAGTTCCTTGTTCAACATTTCCACTTTTCATGTGTTGTAAATTTTCCAAGTTGGCTGGCAGCACCTATGTAGAAATATTCATTTACTAACCGAGTTCCGAATACAGAAATTCCACCGGATTTTTATTTGAAAGACATGGCAACGGTTAGCACAGTTGTGATAACAATACGAGTATTGAAAGGTCCTAATGTTTATGGTATATGAAGAATTTGAGGGATAATCAAAGTGCTCACTTATTACATGCGATTCCTGCCTAATTTTCTGGCAAGTAATCCGTAGAAACTAATGAATAACAAAAACCTAATGTAATTATTATACTAGCTTTGGCCTTACCTTATTTGAAACACCAGGAACAAACGGATTGGCAGCAATTTCTTTACTTATTTCACTCTTTGGATGTGGTGTGGTCTTGCATATCTTCACAGTGGCCGGCTTTATCTGCGGAAAAAGTTGAAGAATCAAAGCTGCCTAAAACCTAGAAATTAAAGGGGGCTAAATGACGCCTATAATGTGAGTAAAAATCTGCCAAATGTAAATATGCAATGCTTGAAATTTCTTTCGAGCATTTCCTAGGCATCATTGTAATGCAAACATGGTTTTCTAACCTTAGTGAAACATGAAAGATTTACTCACATTCTTTCTTTTCCTGCCAAGTTTTTTCTTCCCGTTAGTAATTGTCTGCTGGGAATTTGATTTCTTCAACAACGCAGGACTCGCACCTGCTCCAACAACGGCAGGAAGTATAAGACGCGGAGCTTCAGGTGCTACGAATAAAGCGACTATAAGCGGACCATCACCTCATACAGCGGGTTAATAAACGTAACCTCAGAATCTTTCGTACAGAAGTGCACGCATCTACTTTCATGCAATTATTTTTCTGTAATGCAGGTAAATTTCAATTCATACAAAATTACTTCTAAAGAGGCGACGGGAAAAGGTAGAAAGCTAAGGAAAACTATTACAGCCACCACCCCCACTCACCTATAAAAGTTAATGTAAGTCAGCTTAGCCCCCGGATAATAAAAGAATATTTTACTTAGCGTGAATAAACAGGTAGTGTAGATTACATGGACTACCTTTGTGTCTCTGGTTTGGATGGTTAACACTTAGAATCATTTCGTGGCCGGTCAGACGAAATCCCTTTTAAATTTAGGTCCCCAAAGTAAAATATGTTCCGTCGGACTTCATTCGGGAAATTCCGAGGTTGAGTTTTAACAGACGATCCCAATTTATGTTATAATCGTCATAAATAGTATAAATTTTAAAGTTTCGTGAGCGAAAAGTTAAGCAATTTTTAAACCCGTGCTTCACACGTGCCGAACGTATTAAAAACTAAATAATCAGTTGTGGTGGCTCATTATCATTTGTTGTTAGTGCGTTTGGCACATGAGAAGCACGACGTTTGAAACATGCTTTGTCATGTTTATGTAGAAAAATATTTGGTTCAAAATCGATTATATTCTGTACCTGGAGCAGCAGGAACCGTGGGTAAGCTTGGTATCTCGTGAGAGGCGTTATACTGTTTCACGACATTATCTGGAGCACGATTTGAACACAAATTTTTGCGACGAATCTTGATTTGTTTGGTAGTCTTGGCTGGCAGATAATGCTTCCTAATTTCACTCCAATTATGGCCATATTGGTCCAATCCTAACACAAGTAAGTTGTCCTCGCTCTGAAGGAAAGCTGCTCGAGTATTTGTTGTCTTTCCAGCATCAAAGGTGACCTGAGGTAATAATTCCCTGTATATGAACACAGGTGATGACACTATTACCTTGATCACTTCCTTAGCGACAGGACCTGATGTGCTCTCACGTGACTCGTCTTCAGGCTTCGGCGATGTCGCAGTCGATGTATCAGACGAACGGGGAAGGTTAATTACTCTGAAAACGAAAAACTCATGTTAAACTCGGCTGCCGGTCATTAGTAAAAAATATTATCGAAAACGCTATAGCCTGATAAGAAACATTTACATTGGCAGTGTCGGGCGCAGTCGGGCCTTTCTAACGTCATATTGCTAAATGAAACAATAGGTGCATGGTTTGCAATTGCCATTATCTTGGTTGTTTTTCAAAACATGTGCACAAATAAATTTTTCATCGTTGCTGTATTTCAATGCCCACCCAATAATACGACAGAGATGATAAGCAGTGACAAAATAAGCAAGGAAAAAGTAAATCAACGAGTTTGTTCCCATAAAAAACAGAATTAAACTTTGTACAGTCATCAAAGATGGCGCCTAATGGTTGATTACGACGTCATATGCAAACCAAGAATATATTATTGTTTTGTGATAATACACGTGTGCCTTAAAGTGCCTATATCACTCGTGGAATCTTTATGCATTTGAAAAGAATGTAAAAAGTTACCTTAGTTAATAGATTAAAAAAGTTTTTTGATTTAGTGCAATAATTTTGAAGATACTAGCCTTTAAACTACCTGAGTCCCAAACTCCTGTAAACAATGGGCAGTTTCAAATTAAATAGCCGCGTGTTTAAACCCAGGAGGTTGGGACTCAGGAACCGCAGTTACTTTAGAGGCTTGTATCTTCCAAATTATTGCCCTAAATCAAAAAATGTTTTTTAACATATTCACTAACTTTTTACGTTCTTTTTAAATGCATAAAAATCCCACGAGTGATATAGGCACTTTAATTATCGTCTTAAAATAAAGTACGCTTCACGCCCGTGTTGCTGAAAACATCTGTAGCTCTCTATTGTAAATTGAATGTGTTAACACACTCGCAGCGGCCGGTGGAGATCGCTAGCTGTGGAGTTTTGGGGTTCAAATTTTCATCTATTCAGGTTCTGCATTATCAGTTTCTCTTCAAACTAGTTATATCCACAGTATGCTAACAGGAATATATAAATGCTCCCGATCTTTCGCAGCCGCTGCACCATTGACATACTAAAAAAGGTGGTGCCTTAACAACTTACTGTTATGTCAGGTTAGCAGCAATAGATTAATCTCAAAAAGTCTTGACATTTCTCATATTTACTTTGTATTATATAATCCTACCAAGAGTTGCAGTTTACCTGAGAGCCTCGGAAAGTTTAACGGAAGAAAATACAGTAGGAGTCGCGTGTTTATCATCTACCAATCGAGTGACGTAATTGCTCGTGGAGACATCGTTGAGGCGTATCATATCCTGAAGTAATCCTTCGCATGATTCTGTTATTAAACTCAAATCAGAACGTTCTTTAGACAACAGCGTCACTTGGACAAGCAGTTGAGTATGCTAAAAGGCAAAGGAAGGACAAAATCGCAAAAAAATTAACGATTTACACGAAAAATATGCAATAAGTTATTCTCTACGCCCTACAGCAGGTCTAGTCGCCAAAGCTTTGTTTACGAGAGGTAAGAATACATAATGGTACACATAGAAATTCGGAGATGGGCCAACTTTTTTGAGTACGTAAATGTTGACATTCATCTTGAATATACTCGAAGTCATTCAGGGTTCGTGCTTGGAATGCATGCACGCTATACCGAACTCTAACGATCGAGCGAACCATAATTTTTTACCTCTTCATTTATAGCACTAAACAAGAATGTTTTTCATCAAATATAAATGTAAAAATCAACATGCACTTCAGGTCAGATTTAGACGTTTTAAAAATGAATTGGTATATCATTTCTTGTTCTCTTTCAAGTACTCTCCAATCAATTTCATGCATCATTTTAGATTGAAGCACTTTTCAAGTACCTTGAATTATTTAATTACCCACTTGAAGCTATTTTCAAGTGTTTTAAGCACCTACTCGCTTTTAGCCAGTTTGATATTGTCAATGGCAGTCTCGTGCATACTTGCGCCATTCAAGTAAATAATAAGCCACGCATTCTGCAGCGTAAGAAGGCAAAATAGGCTTTGTCGTATGGACTGTTACAAACCAACTGCATTGCACACAAGTTGCAAGAACAATATTTTTAGATGTGGAGGCACACTCGCTGCTTTATACTGTATCTGCATAATTATAAAAAACTTTCACGTATATAATAAAGTATGTATATATTATGGTGTTTGAGCATTTGCTGAACAATGCGTTGTATTAAAAATGGAATTTTCTCACTGCAATTCATTACCTATATAAGGACTTTATCTACGGTGCAAGTTCTATTTATTTGCAGTTGCAAATTTACCTTTTGTAATTGTGTAATCAAGCACGCCCGTTGTTCCAAAGTCATTCCAACTCCTTCTATATACGGTACGGCGGGAGCTTCCAGCGCTTGTAAACTGAAACGACAACAGTGAAGCTACAGAACTAAAATATACGTGGTAGCAATTTCCACACATAATTACGAGTCGTATATCTGAAACATGTGTCCAGAGTAAATCATAATATCATATTAAATACGTCAAGAGAGGCTTGCAGGGGCGAAGCCGGTAGGACACAGGACTTTAAGGCCGTTAAGGCGTAAATAGTGAACAAAATATTTATTTACCACTTACGGCTGCTTTCCACTGTCGCGTTTTTTATACGGACGTGCACGCACGTAAAAGTCTAAATCCTTATATATGTCATATATGAAAAATATCTTAGTTTTCCGCATATTTTAGTATGCATTTGTTGACCCATGCGCACAACACGTACGCGACCATGGAAAGCAGCCTTTAGTAATTTAAATTATAATGTTGTCATTGTAACTATGTCTATAGTCAATCACATGCATGCTCATAATGTGTGAAACTATCCAATACATGCATGTATTTTAGGAATATCCACCACTGGAAGATTATAATAGTAATAATATTCGAATAACTATCTCCTAGCGAAGATTCTACTATTAAATTTCGGGAAAATATGGCATTGAACGTATGTATGTAGCTACCTGTTCCTTTCATCCGTCAGAGGAATTTCATCACCGAACTACAGAAAGAAATGAACATATTAGATTTTGAAACGTAATATTCAAAGTGTAATAATCCATGAATCAAAAAGTGAATCATTCAAATCGCAATTTCACTAAGTTAGTTCGATAATTTGTAAAATGTCTTTGTAATACTCATGTGAACAAACAATAAAAGGTCATACCTCGGCTAAAAATTCTTCAAAGAGTTCGGCCAACTCTTTCTCTAAATATTCATAAGCGGAGTCAGCAATCCTAATACTCTATCATATTTTAATACTGTTTTCTCATTAGCAATTTTGTTCACCACATACAGTATGGAGCAGTATGAACCAGTACGAAACAAAAACATACAAAGGGGATGCACGAAATATTCATGATACAATATCACTGTTTGATTTGAGCTTGCACATTTGAAACAGGGACTGGTAAGAATGTACGTATCAAAAAAAAATTTTCGAATGTCCAAAATCTTAGAAGTGTACATAAGGAAACAAGCAACATATATATGGGGGTGGAATGGTCGGTATTCACACTCTGGTTAAGAATTCTCGCTGCTTATGAAAATATTTTTGCAATATAATAAAGCTTACGTGAGATTGTCACAGCTCGATCAGTTCGATATTCTTCCTGTTCTTCTTTCTGATCTTCCGCCATGAAATTATACTCTGAATCCTCAGGATCTTCAGTGTCTGTTGCTCCTGTATTTAACAAAAATCATTAATTTTGGAGCAATGATAAAATATCTCAACACTATAGTCTAGACACTCGCGAACAATTTCGCCAAGGACGTTACCACATCATGCATACACATAGGTTTATTGCAGTTGATTCAAAGCTAGGTGATTTTGTGTCTTTTTGAATAATGTACTCAGCGAAAAATTAAAATCCATGACATCTGGCTAATGGCTATGTAATGTCTCTTGATTTTTGTACAGTACAGACTACACATATGTAGTGTCCACTGATTTTGTACAGCACAGAGTACAGGTATGTAGTGTCTATTTGTTTTGCGCAGTACAGCCTACACGTGTATGTAGTGTCTAATTGTTTTGCACAGAGCTATGTACTGTCTATTTGTTTTGCACAGTACAGACTAAACATGTATGTAGTGTTTATTTGTTTTGCAGCCCACAGACTACACATGTATGTACTGTCTAATTGTTTTGCACAGAACAGACTATATACATCTATCTACTCTCTATTTGTTTTGCACAGTACAGACGAGTCTACGTGTATGTAGTGTCCACTTGTTTTGCGCAGTACAGACTATACATGTATGTAGTGTACGTCTGATTGTTTTGTACAGTGCAAACTATATATATCTAGTTGTAGTGTCTATTTGTTTCGTAAAGTACAGACTACATGTATATAGTGTCTACTTTTTCAGTACAGCTACGGGCACTGATATTTCCTCTCCTTCGTTAGATAGCTAGCTATATCAACTGAAGTATTTTCACCTTTCTCAGCGTTAAGACCAAATAACCATTTATGCCAATCAAGATCGTCTTGCTCTAAATCATCAAGATTGATAATATCGTAAAGATCTGGTGTCTGATCCGGGGGAACAAACTGAGCTGTAAAAAAAATAAAAAAATAATGAGTGGTATAGCAAGTATCAGAAAAACTAAGCGGGAAAGGAGCAACTCATTCCGATAAATTTACGGCGTTTTATACATGTCAACGCGTGATTAAGTTTTGTATTGATCAGTAACAGTTACCTTCTATACTTTCCAGGCTCGTATCAGTCAGTGGAAGTCTAGATCTTGTTCTTTCCGCAATCAAGTCAGTTTCCTCGATTTCTTTCTAAAAACATTAAAGTATCGTATTTATACTTTAGATATGAATAGAAGATAAAAGTATTGAATATTGCACTGTAATAAAGTAACGATTAGTCAAGAGAGATTGTGGAGATTTATGGTTTGTTTTATGGTTTGTTTGGTTTTTTGGTTAGGTTTCAGTTAATGCAAATTGTTCACAACAATGGACTCTCTGCAGAATGTAACCAATAAAGCGATCGTTTAATATCATCACGCTATTAAATTATTGCACTAGCTACATATATCACAGCAAACACCTCGACACCGCACTCTGCAGCATTCAAATCACAGAGCTTGCAAGTCATCTTCTTCTTGGACAAAGCATCTCTTAACACGGAAGCGACATCGAATAGAGCGATACATACAATATTTAAATGTATATTTTACCTTATCTGTTGACTTTGAAATCGGTAGAGGAACTTTGAATTGAGATGACAATTCTTCCGGACCTGAAAAACATTGATAACCTGGAATGTCATTTACAGGAAATACACCACAAGGCACAACGCTATTTAAAACAAAGTTATAAAAACGTCTGTATGCAATGTTCTTTAAAAAGTCATTACCCTTGCAGAAAGCGGTCGGATAATTAAAGTTTCACATTTCGGATTGTAATTCTTACACTAAGCCACGCATTATTGTACATATATACTGTGATAAGATGGCGACTATTCCTGTTAATGTTAAACTAAAATTATTGAACTATAGAGTATAGACCGATCAGAGACCCATCTTTTCAATCAAAATCAAAGCATCTAAAATACCCAGATGGAAATTTCGGAAAACAATACATGATGCTTAATATGTTTATGTAGTAAAGTACCTGTAGTTAAAGCTGTATTTTCATCCTTCTTATCATCATGCTGAAGACTGCTGATCTGATCTGTCAGTAACCGCCGTTTGACTCGTGATGTACGACGTAATGGCTCAGGTGAAGCAAGGTCACTACATTAAATGCATTAGATACATATCATTGCCATAAATTAAATAACCTTAATCAGGGCCTTAAAAAATTAAAGCACCTTAAAAAAATGGTGGGCTCGGTGTATTATTCGCACACTAGTCGAAAATACGAGTGACAGCCATTGTTACTTTAATTTCTAAGATACGTTGATATTGTTTGTAAAGAAGTTTGTTTGTTAAACTTTTTAACATCGCTTTGAAGTACTTTATGCCTCGCAGATATTTAAAACCATGACGTCATAGGGCCCCAGAAAAAAATTGCCCCGGGCCCCCCAATTTCTCTCGACGGCCCTGACCTTAATACAGGTATATTAAGAGGTTTTCCAAAAGGAAAATTCATTCGCGCTAACTAATAGAAAGTAGAAAATAGAAAGCGATTCTACAGGACTTTTTACGGCGAATTCGTTCAGTACAACACATGCAGTTATGTTACCTGGTACTAGAGACACAACTCTCCGAATCGTCTTCACTACCATCCTGTAGATATTCAAAATACATATTTTCTCTTATAATTATGTACTTCACTGTGTATATTAACCGTACGTGGCATGGCAATTAAGAAAAATTATGGTCCTCGGGTAATTGGAAGAAGCATTTTAAACCTATATACACGTGTGTAGCTACACAAGTCATAATGACTACACAGTTGTGATACACTGGTGATAATATTAATGACAAACAACGTATATTTGTGAACTTATGTTCAAAAATACTGCACTTAGCGCTAAATGATATCACTCACCACATGTTCTTTCAAAGGATCATATTCTTCATCAGAAGAGCCGCCTTCCGAGAAGGTAAGATCAGCCAAGGGAACCTCAATCTCCTGTTATCAAGAGAAACACACATACATATACGATAATTAAGGACCGTGGAAAAAGTTCCCGCGTCCACTTTTTGGGACATTCGAGAAAGGGTGTTCGGTGCCGCTATATACAGATTTGATTTTTATAATATTTGTGCTCTTACAGGCTTTCATTGCATTTCTTACTTGGTTGACATCCTTGTCTTCTTCTTTTTGATCAGTTCTATCAATCTCATCATGTGTGTTAAAAGTATCCGGTGCTTTGCGTTTCAGTTTAAATGGAGATATAACATTCTTTACCGGCGAGTGTATAATAGTCTCTTTCTAAAGAAGAAAGTTCATGCCTGTTAACGAACTCTTGAAATTCAGTTTCCGAATTAGTACATACGAAATAGTTGCATGAAAACGTGAGAGTAGGTGACTTCTACAGTAGGATATGTACACTGTACATACCACAAGTAGCAATGGATCTGGAGCAGTCCCAGTTGTTTCAGCAACTTTACGAACTCTTGATCGTGTCAGTTTTGGTTCCTATGATATTAAAATACGCATGTCAATTGCATGCACATGTATCATACTTGGTGAGGCGCAAGGCAGATTAGTTTTTCAGCAAAACGGGCATGCAACCACCCTCCCCTCACAGACCTCACCCCATGTTATGCCTTTCTGAAACAGTAAAATTCATAGATCATGCATTGAATGAATATATACAGTGCTGATCAAAAGTGTTCAAATACTGTTTTTTTACAGACCTCATAAAAATGCTCATATCTACTTTCAAACAAAAGCGAGTAGAAAAACGAGTTATTCGCATTGTTGACCAGTTATTTTAATTTACTATTTTAAACAGAAAGTACATTTCAAACCAAACAAGTGCCATTTACTATTTCTTTCTAAAGTTAACACTTGGGAGGATATTTGTGAGAGTACTTATTGAAATGTTTTAGGAAAAATGAATAGCAAAGTGTTTGCTTTTTTAAATACAGATAGAATAATGCCAGTAAGTTGCGTATAGTTTTTAATTTTGATCAATTAATTTTCTGCCAAAAAATAACAAAAGTTTCCAGAATTTTATATCCATTCATTTTTATCCCAGTTCTATGTTATTAAGGATGTATTTGGAATAGGTTCTATTAATATCAGTCAATATCTGAAATTTACAACACCAAAAGACCCAAGTTGTCAGCTTTTGAAAATTTAGTGATTTTAATGCGTATTTAAGAATTTATGCACCTAAAAACTGTTTGTTGCACTGATTATTTTAAAAATAACAACCAACTTTCTGGAATGGAATCACAGTGAGACAGTTTTAACAATGAAGTTCATACAGTCATAATTTAATTTTGAAAAAGTAGTGCTAGATGCCACCTCTTTGGTCATACGTGTACAAGTTTGGGAGTGACCAATTAATTTCTAAAACTGCTGGGGAGAGCATAATATCACACTCTATAATAAAATAGTCATTCAAATAGGTTCTGTTTTATTTTTGTGTACATGACAGTGCTTTTTGTAAGGGTCAAAAAGAGGTGTTTTGATTAGTACTGAGATGGTAGTGTAAGTATTAATAAAGTACTCACAATAATACCAGGGGATGCTGAACATATTTCATCCTTGGTCTTGTCTTTTCTATTCTCATTATCATCATCATCAGCATCTGTTTTGCCTTCAGCAATGTTACATGCCATTGCAACCACCCGTTCATCAGACAACACATGCTACATTAAAATTACACAAACCACAGATATTTAATTAACACATACATCATAATCAAGGCCGGCAAGATGGGAAGGGGGCAGCATCCAAGCAAAAACTCTTCAGATAAAAGGGTTATTTTCAGTGGAGTAGCCAGCCTGTTGATTTTGTCCTCCTAAGCATGCAAAATTTCAAGTCATTAGAATTTTAGAAATTCATTGTTTCCACAGTTGATGAACACCAAAATATCAGCATAGCATGACTAAATTGTCAAGCTGGCTCTGCCACTGGTGATCTTACCATCATTATTCAATTGTAATATATTGACAAAAATTTGCAGAGTAAATGTAGAGAGCTGGCAAAAGGACGGAAAAAATTTGCAGCATGCAAGAAACTAATTGTGAGCCAACAAGAGTTGGGACTGTCAGAGGCCCCACTTACTAAATTGTTCTATCTCAGGCTAGCCTTTATTGACCATAATAAATTGACCGAGTCTTCTAAAATTTTTGGAGGGTACCTGAGATATCATATTTGCTCCTGTTTACTTCTAAATGTAGGAAATTGCAAATGCTGTACACTGTAATTCAATACTTGTAATAACACTGTAATTCAATACTTGTGCATGTTACATCTTAATGATAGCAAGCTAAATATTAAATCATCTTCAATCATCTGATCTAGCTTAAATTGGCAGCATTGCAGCTAATCAATCTAGGCAAATTATTGGTGCTGATCAGTTGCTTATCTATACTTCTGGATGGGCAAATTTAATACTTACATGAATCAAGCTCTTTACATTAAATACAGACAGATTACTTTTTGAGGCATTTTTGTCAAGTTCATGATCTATATCAAAATTCTGTTCTGAAAATGGATCATCATCACTCTTGCTATGATCAACATTGGCATCTTCAAAATTGCTCTCATTCTCTCCTTCATCCTTCTCATTTGCTTCATCGTTTTTAGCCCGTCTAACTCTCTTCGCCTGCTTACTGTTATCATCCTTGTTCGTCTCTTTTTTGCGCCGTTTTCCCGGAGAAGACTTAGGCATAGTTACTCTTGTATTCACCAGGGAATGCTAACGAAAACCAGCAAGATATCAAATCAGAAGTAATTCATATTCGTGGCACTGCACAGGAAAACAAAATTGAAACACAAATGCAACAAACATCACTTTAATAACGTATTTAAAATTCGTATATTAATTTTGTTATATTCTGGAATTCTGTTATAATCTGCACCGCCTAACATGAGCCCGCGATAGGTTAAATTATTATTGATTATGATAACTGTAGCTTCACAGTTCACAGTTCACAGTTCACAGTAAATAACGATTAAAGTTAACTCTAAATCATAAAACTCTTTCGCTTTTTAGTATAAGCAATATACAATGCATCATGCCATTTATTTATATCATGTAGCGGGCATCGTTTGTAGCGGGCGTCGACCGCGTCGTTTGTTGTACGATATTTTTTGTCAATATTTCATGTTTTATTTCTGAAATACTTTATGTAATAATAATCAAAACCAATCGCAGCCCTGATCGTTTCATATTTTTGAGAAATGTAGCAAAATGTTGATTTTAATGTTCTCCCCTGTTGTGTGATGCGTCAACGTGTTCTCTTGTGTTCCAAAAAGGATCCCAAATCCAATATGCAGCACGAACTAATGCGTGCCTCATCGATTATTATCATTCTACTGTATTATTATTCTCGATAATGCTCAGCCGCATCCAATAATTATTTATTATCCCCAAAATCTGACTCGCCTTGCTACTAAGCTAAGGGAAGGTTGTTTTTAAACTCGATTTAGTTCCTCACATACTTAAAGTCGATAGCACGGTGTTTTGCGATGTAACGGCCTGGTCGATTTGCTAATATACAACCACTTTACATCATTACTTGAAAATATAGTCGCTGGTAAGTGTAGTAATGATAGCAACCAGCTAAAGAATGCTGCCCCTTAAGTTCAACGAGAGTGATAGCTATTTGGGTCAGACATATTAATTGCAGCATGTAACTGACAGTAACAGTATTGTTTTACAGCGATATAGGTAGGGCCTTTTTTCGTCTACATCCTCGTTTTTTTTTTGCCTTATTTTTAACAACATTTTTTCGTTGTTCTGTGTTCCGGATTATTACTGTTCCGGTGTTCCGTGTTCCGGTATTTCGCTGTTCCTGGTTTTGCAGGTGGCCGGACAAGGCGGAGCTGTTAACGTGACGCACCGTTCTTTGTTTTCAGGATCAACAGGAATTGCAAAATTTATTAAAAGCAGGCCGGGCTTTCAATCTTTCTAATCTCGTGTTATACTAAGGCTTAGAACTTTATTCTTAGAAAATTGTTGTGATACGCGGACATTCGAAGCGGATTTTTACAGGATAAGATAACTAGATCTTGAAAAACATTATCGTGGTGCAGCGATTTCATACGAGCAGCTGTGTGGTCATTAGACTTCGACTTAAACAAAAAGTAAGTAAAGATATCTCTGCTGATTGATCATGAAACTAAAATCGTGTTGGTTAGAGAAACATTTAACCAAGATAATATGGATTTGATATAACAAATATAGCATTATACTGAAAAATATATTGACAGGACACCATCGGGCCTATAGCAAACGGCACTTTAGTGTGCGATTTAACTTTCCTTCTCAAAGGGAGAACCTTGCTGTTAAAAAAAAAAGTGGTCCGAAACACGGTAAAGACGAAGTCATACCATTTGTAATCTCCTATAATATTTGTCCATTCGTTCACTCAATATAACCCTAATGATATCGAAAGTCGCGATGCATAATTATTATAACATTCGCGTCTATATAACTATTGGGTTATGTTATGATTTGAATTGTTTTGTAAAGTTCTTGATTGATAATTTATCTTACTCGGTGGCTGATTGAAATATTTTTCTTTATTTCGCTTCATGGTATTCTTAAATAATTATTTCATCTGAACTTTTGTTATCATCTGTGGCGTAGCCAGCCAGACAATTTAGTTATGTTATGGCTAGTATTTTGGTGTTTATTGACTCTGAAAACAATGAAATTCTAAAGAAAGAAATAATGATAATAACATAAAATTTGCATGGCATGACTAAATCGTCAGGCTGGCTACGCAACTGGTTGTCATAGCGCTAATATCATTCAGTTTTGATGATTGTGCAATTTTATGACCTATTATAGGAGCATTAAGTTGTGTGTTTTCACTGTTTTGAAATATGGCTCTTTCTAAAACCAAAAACGCGGAATCTTAGAAGGGAATGGGGATTGGGGAACGCGAAAGTTACTAAACCTGGAATACTAAAGCCGGAATCTTCAAAACCAGGAATACCAAAATTCGGAATCTCTAAATTCCGAAATACTAAAAGCCGTATATCTCCAAAACCCAGAATACTAAAAGATTCAAAGACGGAATCTCTAAAACACGAAATGCCAATAAAAATAGTATACATTATGCTAATATTTTCTGAAAGTGATTTTTTAACTGGTTTAGATGCAAATGAATCTTTCTCGATTGCAGATAAGAAAGTAAACATGTCTGTAACCGGATTGCTACTTGATGTTTCTGGTTCAATGAAGAATAACATTGGAGGCGGTGTTGAAGAAGACGGCAAGCCGTGGGCACAATCTATTTTTTGCGCTATTGATGACCTTATCAAACATGATCTTACGTCTGAGAATCGAATTTTTGCTATAGGCTTTGGTGCAGAACAAACTGGCAGCCAGGTATTTGATATTATCTCAACACTTTATGGGGACACGAGTATGATGACCACACATGAACAGTCGGTTGACAATGCACCTGCAAAGCGTGATGACATCAATAATATCCTAGATATTCTCGAGCAGCATGGAGCCCGCAACATACGCACATGGGTCTCTGTTGAGTTGATTGAAAAAGTTATTGATTCACATTTAATCGCAATAGCTTTGGACAGACTCATGTCTGAGGAAGAATTTCCATCCATATTTGTACAAGATATTTTACCACCTGGTTGTCGGAATAAAAGTCCAGCTTTTTGGCCAGCCGAAATGTTTGAGGATTTGGGTGTATTTGCTTTCAGTTATATAGTACCGAAAGCTACGGAAAAGGATATCAAAACCATTGTGGAAAAAACTGTCAAATATTTCAAATCCAAGAAACGTTTGGTGAACGTGGGATCTCACTCTATATACAGCGTGCAAGATGCTTCCCGCATTATCCGTGGTTGCGTTGGTGAAAAGGAAGTTAGCGAACTTTCTGAGGAACGCAAAAAAGAATTGCTTGAACAAATCGAGCCGTATATTTATGGAGGAACCCCGTTATTCGAATCCCTCGAGAAAGCAACAAGACTTTTTGAACAAACTACTGCTGAGAACAAGCTGCTTTTTGTGCTGTCAGATGGAGAACCTGCAGACGGCAGGCATTTTCTCAGTGTGGAGCATTTCACCTCCAGATTAGCACGAGCTGGCGTATACATAGTATCTTGTTACATCACAGAAACCACAGATATTTCTGCAAAGCACTTGTACGATGAGATGGATGGTAATTGGGAAATTGGGGCGAAGTTTCTGTTTTCCTTGAGCTCTAAACTGCTTACACAGGATCTGCCACTGGGATTCCTAATCAAGAATGATTGGAAGATCGACATCGACAAGAATGAAACAAACTTGTTTATTCAAGCCAATCATCCTGATAACCTAAGGTACGTTTAATAAAAAGAGGTCGAAAATATTCAGTGGGAGTGGGCGTAAAAAAGTAACACTTTAAGTTTCTCCTGTGCCTATCCCTCTGAATAACAACGTAATAACAATAATACGAATAATATTCTTGTTTTATTTCATCATGGTTAAATACTTACCTTTAAATTCATCCAGTCATAGAATCGTACCGGAAATTATTATATAATTAAGCCAGAAATAATATAATTATCTCGTCGTCCCTAAGAAAATGCAAGATCGAATTTCAATCTTGCAGAATTACATTTTTAGATTGATTTATATTAGAGAAGCCCGATTAAAACTAAAACGAGTAATAAAGTATCCTTTTTCCCTAAGTTCGTCTGCATCCGTATTTGTACTGCGTCAAGACGAACTACCCATGGAAATTTGTCTGTATAAATAGACGAACTATGCGGATAATTCGTCTTGACGCAGATGATCCGTCTACTTGCCCGTGTTTATACACAGACGAACTAGAAGACGCACTATCTTTTGCACGCCCAAATTCGTTCAGACGGATCGTTGTTATAAGCTTGAACTTGATGTTTTAAATAGGTAGGCAAAAAATTGACTAAGCTAAGATTACTACTTCATCATTTCATTAATTTTTGATTTCTATGCACCGGTCTGTGCTCACAGGAAACGAGCATGTTCTACAAATGGCATAATTTTTATATTGACATGATGATTGTCGGACGAAAAAAAATCGAGCGTTTACAATCTGCACAGGAATTGAGCCCTGTTTAACCGCACAGGAATTATATTCTTAATAAAAAAATTCCCTTCGGCCAAAAATAAATTAGAACCGCGTTCATGAAAGCAGCCTTTTAAATCATTCAAGATCTAAATAATTTTCAGGGAAGCATGTAGAATGGCCAAAGAAGTTGTCGGTTCGGCTGACACATTATCTGAATTGCTAGTATCTGTTGACCTCGACATCTACATTAGAGATTGCACGAGAGATATGGAGGCGGAGGAGCAAATCTTAAATCAAAATACTTGCTATGCGTTTGCGTCAGCTGCTGTGCTTCATTTAAGAATGCAAGGAGTTTACGGTCCGGAGGGAGTTTATCCTGAGTTTGACATGTTGAAAGATGAAATGATCGCAGCCCATGGTGTCAATGGTGCTAACACCGGTGATGTTCTGCAAAAAATATGCGAGAAGTATGGTTTTAAATGCGAAAAAGTCTTCAAGGTTAACAAAGCAAAGAAAGCCATTGTCGAGAAGCGTCCTGTGGTAGCAACATTTCATCTGCCAAAAAAGAAAATGAAGAGCTTTAAAGATTACTTTCGCAATAACCCAACAGGTATACTGACGCTGAAGGAGATGACGAACGCTGATACTGAATCTTCGGACAAAACCTCGCCTCCTACCATTGGTCATGCCGTCGTTTTGACCAGCTACAACAGCAAATGCTTGAAATTTATGAATTCCTGGGGACAAGAGTGGGGTGATAATGGATTCTTTAGAGTGGAAAATGCAGAAGTGCTTGGTGATAAGCTGGAATTCTTTGACGTTTCCTGGGATTGGGACAAAGCGACTGAAGGAGAAAAGGAGTATTACCGGAAACATGCTGCTGAAGTAGCTGCAAAGCTGATGAGCTCGTTGAAAGGTTTGCAAAACGCAGAATACACGTGCCCAAAATGCGAGAAAAAATCGTTAGTTACCGAGTTTGAAGGAACGTTGTCGAAAGCCCTTTGCCCTAAATGCCAGAGTGAATTTTCTACGAATGATAAAAAGGGAAACATCGTCGCACTAAACGTGTACTTGGCATCTTTGAGCAATTGAACGTGCTCTCTTTAAATTACAATTGATGATTGCATAAGAGAATGACTGTATTCCAATAAAACTTATATGTTGAAGCACTTTATTGGGATTTACATTATTAGTATACAAGCATGTGTAGGAGCATACATACCGTTTTCTGGTTTTCAAAAATGAAATTAATAACCACACAAAGACTGCATTCACGACCTTAGTAACGTTTCGGCAACCAGTCTAGTGTCTTCATCAGAGGTGATCTGATGTTGAACGTTGAACCTATATATGCCCCAACATGACGTCATCTGCCAGTGAGATGTAAGTAGCTTCCGGACCGTCATCTCTTTCAACATCAGATCACCCCTGAGAATCCAAGATCGGAGTGCGGCGATGACTTTCATTTTTTAAAACCAGTGTAGCGATTATTACGGACTTAAATTCAAATACTTTTTGTCCAAGATTGCAGTATAAAGCCGCGTTTACACTACGTGCTTTGATATGGCCTGGACCAAGCCTAGGCCTAGATGTGAACGTTAATTGTTTATCCGCCTTAGAACGGACTGGACCTGACCTGGGGCAAGATTTTGGCAATGTGCACAGGCTTTCCTGACAAATTTTGAACTTAATAGTTATACTATGATTTGTGTAACATATATATATAGTATATTACCACTTTTCGGCGTGTTTTGGGTCTTCTTCCAAGTAATTTGTCAATTACTTTGGCTATCCGATATCAGCTACAAGGAAAACAGTGTGAACGTGGCACATATTACCTAGACTTGTCGATCCTAGTCCTGGTCCAGGTCTGAAGTGTAAATGCGGCTTAAAATTGATTAACGCGTTTACAAACAGGTCGTATCGAAGCTTACTTGGGGGAGTGTGTAATTATTCTTTTAATCAGTCTTATGCCCGAATGATTGTCGTGAAATAAACAAGTGAGGAACAAAAATCTAATCAGCATTGGCAGATGATAAGCATATTCAATTCAAAATCAGTGAACCTGTGGGCAAATACGATAGATTTGTAAAGTCAGGGTGAATAGCTAGAATCAGTTTAGATTTAGTGAATGAATACAAGTTTACTTGAATGTCACTGAACAGTCGTACTGCATGCCGGTTTCTCTAAACTCTCTATATAAAGACCAAGTCCACTTGGCCATGGAACAAAAACCAGCATTCTTAAATCATTAACACGTCATTACGTCATATTTTCAGTGTATCATTATAAAAACAAGTTTGTAAATACCTATATACTGTATTTACTAATTACTATATATTTATTTGTTTTGACAAACCCTGTCATTGATTTGTCATTTTCTTCATGATCAAATCGATTTTGTATGCTACAAAATCCGCTATTATTATATCTATTAAAGTGAAGTAGCAAAATACTAAACGGGATTGATATATAAGAGTTCACTTTCATACACCTTATATATCAATTATTACATAGCATGTTATAGTTAAGTAATTCATCTTATAGATTCATGAAGTTGAAATACGCGAAAATTCGCCTTTTCCACGAATTGCATTTTGTCATATAATATAATTATTGAAGTTCCACGAATTACATTGTCAACAATATTAAACGTTTAATTTTGATCAATTACTATTTAGCTACAAAACATACGTAAAGTTTAAATAAAACCAAATATGGCCAATATAGCCATATCTCTAAAACAAGTTCAGTTACTCCCATTTTTTATTGCTGATCGTTTTCATTTTGATTGGGAGATTTCGATAATATCCTGAAAGGCAAATTTCGAAATTCCATTTTTTCCCCTTTTATTATTATACTTATTGCACACAATTACCCATCTGGTTGAAAAGCTAAAATGTCATGGTACCAAACCCGTGCGCCGCGATCAATGAAATGACATGCGCGTACATATAATCATTCTAATCCCATGCAAGTTCGGATGAATCGGATCGCATGCATTACTGCAAAAGACATAAATGCCATAAAATCAAGATAATATATATGAAAAAAGGTCACACTAGTCTAACATTATCGGTTTAATGTTTTGTCCGCCTTAAGGCACATCAATTCATCCCAGCTTTACCTAAGTTGGGATACTCGCAAGCAAACCAGACAACACCAAGTATCCAGCACAAAAACTGCGCAAAACAAAAACACAATAGTGACATTATAGCGAAAATGTTGGATGCGATTAAACGCCCCAGCAAAAATCCTACGTGAAGTGCGACAAGTGACCATGATTGGTAAAAAGCTGCGTCTTTTGCATGTGTTATTTTAGACAAGAGCGAGCAACCTAAGGTAAATGAAAAGTATGGTACTCTAAGACTGACATAAGGAATTAGAATATAACCACCGTATACACCAAACGAGCTGTCCCAAGTAAAAGCAATAAAAGTTAATAACGATATTGCAGTTACCTGCATTAGCATGGAGCAAATTAACAATAGCGTCTCATGGTAATATTTTGCAGCAATGTAAAACACGATCAAAAGAACCATGGAAAATAAAGCACACACGAGGAATAGCAATTTTACATGAATAAATTGAAGATGGAAGTGTTCTTGTGCGAGCAAGGGGACTAAAATTGTAGTCGTGTTTGAGTAGAATAGACCTAACAAAACCAGGTGAAATATAAAAAATATTTGAGAACAAGAACCAAACTTTGGCTGTTTCCCAGAATCTCGAGTCGCAAGAACATCGTCATCATCATCGTCATCATCATCATCATCCTTCACCATCACTGTTCCAAACTCTTTCGGTAACTACAGGGAAATTAGAAAATTCACAAACCATACTAGTGCAATAAAACGTGCTGGAGAATTACCATCCAACCATGCAAGGATATTAATATTGAAGATCAAAAATACGCCAACGGTTGGCCCCAAAAGAGTTCCCAAGATGAAAATCGCCTCCAGAATGATAAAAAAATTGTGCGCAAAACCTCTGAGGCGTGTACAATGTTACTCGTCCAAAAAATACTCCGACAGTCAGATCAGCTTGAAAGACCACCTATTAATCGGCCTGCCAAGGGGAAATAAGCTGAAATTGGGATTGAATAGATCACGAAGCCGGTTGCCCTTAGAAACAAACTAACGAAGAAGATGAATTTAATATGACCAAATTTGTCTGCTAGTCTTCCGATGATAGGGCTGAATGGAAGAGCGCTGAATTGGTATGCAGTCATGACGATGCCGAATAACGTCTTGTCTCCTCCAAGTGATTTCACATAATACCAGGCTGACGCTGCAATGAGGTACTCTTCGACCCCGTCGACAAAATTTCGTATAGCAAGTACATAAAATACCTATGCCTTCAAGTATGTTCCCTTCATTTTCGGCCTGAATTTGGTCTGTATAAAAGATGAAATTATATTGTTACTCTTTGTAATCATTAGCATTTTTAAATATTGGTTCGTTGTAATATCGAGTCACTGCTAATTTATTATCGTAGTACCTTATCATAATGCAATTTTATTTAAATGAAACCTTCCATAATTTAGTAATTCCAACCCAGCCGTCTAATCATTCCAACATATTGGGTTAAACGAGTTTATAAAAAAAAGGCTTTCAGAATATTTCGTGATTCCAGATCTGATGTCATCAGCATGCATATCCTCAATAATCCAAAATGGTGAACAAGTAATTTCTTTTTGTAAAAGCAAGTATGTGATGTGCGTAGAGATTTCCAATTTTTTGCCATATCGCCTCCTCATGCAGGTGATACGAACATTTTTCTAATACTCAGTGGCGCAGCCAGCATCGATAACTGAGGGGGCGGGGCGATATTCATATATTCATGTTCCGTAATATCAATTGCTTTTGAACTCTATTGCCTTTACAGTCACTTACATCAACATATGAATATTCCCACCCCCAATTATCGATATCCCCAAGCCGGTGCGAGGGTACTAATTCCGCTGGGAGATTAAAAACACCCGGTATCGTATCCGGAAATATATTTAAAATCCAAAGCCATCAAACACAAAACAGACCTATATTACTTGGTTTAGATAAAAAATGAATAATCACATGTTTAGTCGTTGAATCGAATCCGTTCTAAAATTACATGCCACTGGACCAGGAGCGACCACGAGTGATCACGTGCACGGATGTCAGTTATCATTTTCGTAGCTCAGCCAGACTCGCACAACATTAAAATGGAGGGCAAGCGAAAGGATTGTAACCAGAAGCCAATATTTATATAAATCCCAAGCGACTGGCAACTGTAAAAGTCGAAAATTCGAATTCAGCGAATAAAAGTATTGGTACTATTGTTGTGGACGACGAGCATGATGAAGAAACTAGCAACACCTACAATTTGTCGCAATTGATACACATAATAGACCATGCGCAAGTCAGCAGATCGACACCATACCTATTCAGCGCATGCAATTGCGATAGGGAATATAATGTATTATAAACAATCAAAAAGTTATTAAATACGGGGATGTCTGCCAACAATTTTTCCGCTTCGAAAACTGTCGCTTGTTGACACCTGTGGTCACTCGTGATCCGCCTGTGGTTCATCCGTGGTTACTCATGGTCCATCCGTTGTCATGCGTGGTGCACTATAGTATGTAGTTTTGAAACTGAACGTTGAATCGCGCATTTTTACAAAAGTGGACTCTTCGCCCAAAGAACGTATCAAAAAACGCAAAAAAAGCTTCCAATGCCTCAGCAGGAACTTTCGAGTCTTCGGAACATATCGCAAACTATTGTCACGTCAAATTGCATGCATGTAACTATCTATGTTATTTCTGCCAATCAAATCTAAATTCTGCCAATCAAAATTTAACTTCATACGTTAGAAATTAGATAACTGAATTTTAGTTCATTTAACGCCTTCGATAAATGTTAACTATTATAACTGTACAGTGGACTGTATATAGTCAGTAGCGTAGCCAGCCTGATGATTTTTCCCGCTATGCTAATATTTTGGCGTTCATTGACTATGAAAACAATAAATTTCTATAGACATGAATAATTATGATAACATGAAATTTACATAGCGGGTCAAAATCGTCAGGCTTGCTACGCCACTGTATATAGCTCATGAGTCATGTACGCGCAGCTATATAAAAAACGGTACCACTCTACCAAAATTCTCTCATCGTGGTCTTTTTACAAGAATTGACAGATTGAATGTTGAAGGTAAGTCCTAATATCAGACTCACTCTAAATAATATTTTGAATTTGTATAAGTTCACCGGTTCATTGAACCCATTTTGTTATATACGCTTATAATCATACAGGTATATAGCTTTGGCACGTTCTAAACAGATTTAGTTACGTTGTTTCATTACGCTTTATTTTGTCCTCATTTATTGGTATGTACATTTGTAATTCGCATGTACAGACTGCTAGAACAAATTAAGGCAAAATTTACACAATTTCACGCGGCATTTCTCTCTCGGTATGCATGTAGATTTATAAAGCACTCTCGACATTCGCTGCCAAGAATGAGCAAGCAATAATTGGCCTATAAGACCTAATCAATACACTGACTTTCATGAATTAATGTTGTTTGCCGGTATTCACTCGTATTTTTGTCTTTATTTCTTTTATTGTTCCGCTTTATAGTTTGTAGTTATGCGGATTATTTTTGGTCATTATCATTATTTACACAACACTAGCTACCTTATTGACGATACTTATCGGAAGGACATAATTATAGGTCAACGCGTAATCTACACTAGTTAAATTAGGGTATATTTTTCAGCCAGTTCACACATCAAATGATGGTAACGGTATACCGTTTTGTTTCTTGACATCCTTGCCGTTCAAGGACATTAATTTTTGTCATCTATGACCATGCCGTTCTTTACGTTTCGCGGGGCATTCTGCCGCCCGACTGCTTGACACGCGATGCAAGTTAGCTAGCTGCATGTTGAAATTTATTCCGCCTTATCATGGATTCGATATAAATAACTAGAGTGTTTAAACATAATATGTCTTTCAGAGGAAACCAAAAGTGAACAGGGCTTGCCCAACACTATCAATTTGTCCTCAACTCAAAGAAATTTCTAAAAAGAATTCCTCATTGGATCCCGGGTATGCTTTAATTTACGTAAAGACTTAATATCAGCATGTCATACTCGCCATGATATGATAGCCAGAATTCTCGGCGTACGAAAGTACACCATAAATATTATATTCTGGTATACAATATTGCACTTTGTTTCAGAATTCAATGTAACAGCTTCCTGCTTCCCTTTTTAAAATTTCCCTACGGAGACATAATAAAACACGATTGTATACAACGCGTCTTCTGATTGATCAAAGCCCGTCTTTCATGCAATATGGCTATTGAAACACTGACACCATAATTTGTTCGAGAATTCACTCTAATACTTTCTCTTTTTCTATTAACCAGAACTATTTAATCGATCCAGGAATGGAGATTACATATTTGAAGACATTTGTGTTCTACGCTTTTATTCTCCGCCATTTTCTTACCGGTCTCGATTCATT